AGTCTATTAAGGCCACACATGCTAAAGGAAAGGCACAGTCCCAGATGCTCGGTCTGTGATCAAAATCACAGCACATCCACTATTATCCATTATTTAATTGCAGTTTGAGCCTGAGAATCTTCTCTTTTTTTCTTGTTAATGGAGTAAGGTGAGTCCGCCGGCTGCTCTTTGCTCTGCAGGCTCGTCCCCGTTGCTTTCTGTTCTGTCGGAAAGAACATAAAGGCATCAACACATGGAGATCTTGAATGTGGTGACTTGATTTCAACCCAAGTACACATCCTTAACATACCAGTGATCGCATAACACCCAATCAGACAATTACAGGATCAAATTAAGCTAATATTTTGGACGGAAGCTGAGCAAGGTGTGATATAATTTCCACTGAAAAGGATTTGCAATATATATTGGATTTGAAAACGGGACTATTCTCTTGAGGGGAAACTAGGTCCTCTGATAGTTGAAGCTGCGCATTGAAGATCTGTTGGAATAAACTGGAGTTTGGCACTTGTTTTGATCAGAATGTGTCAAATGGGAGATGAATAAGTGAACAAACACATTCTTAAGTCATTTATGTCCCAGATTATGCACGTGGAGATATAAATAAGAGCTTAGATGATTCGTTTAATGATTTATTACAAAAAAAGTTGTACTTGAATGAACTAAAAACTATGAAAATCCCCTCTCAGGACATCGTGACTCGTTTTTCAGGGGCTCGAATAAATAAAAAGTCTTTGTCTTTGTCCCACACAACTGATGACATTTGGACGATAGACAATCAGCAGAAGACGCAAAGTCTTTTAACATGATATTTTCCCTCCTTGAACTCTCATGTTCTTCATTTCTTCATTTTCCCCTTTGGCCTCCGATCCGTCTGAGGCTTCATGGTTGGTGGACTCGAGCAGGGAGGGGCGCGGGGGGCTTTGAGGTCGTGATCACAGTTTCTGAAAGCACAGGATCAGTCGGTGGTCATGATTCCTAAACATTTAGAGTGTGTGAAGGATGAGTGTAAATATCCCGAATGGAAGCAGTTGATATTTTTATTCTCAAGTTTTTAGAGGCTCGCTGCACAGCCAACAGTGTGTCCCTTCATTAGCTGGAGGCGGGGGGGAGTTTGGGGCGAGGAGAGGGGAGGGATGCTAAATTTTGTGTTAATGTTGACGTCTGCCTTTCATCAAAAGCATTTTGAAAGCTGTGAAAATGTTGTCCTTTCCCCAGCCTTGTCCTCGCGTCCGCTCATTAGCGAGCGACACGCGCGGCGCCGCGACGCTGCGACGCCTTCCGTTTATGCTAACAATGATCGCGGCGTGCCGCATTACCCGAAGAAGTGGGCGCGAGGCACATCGCGGCATCGCATCTGCACGCGGTTTACTTTTTGATCAATCAGTTGGCCCTTCAGCTGGAAAAATCTTGCCAAATAACTCCTTGTTATTATTAGATCGATGGCAAAAACACACCTACAATCATAATTTAAAGCAAAGTCCGGGGGGATTTTTAAGTGTTCTCTCTGCTGCTCGCTACCTAAAGCAATCATCCTGACCGTAGCCCCATCCTGCTCAACCACAACCCTAAGTATAGTGTAAGTGTGGTTCTAAGACGGATAATTACAATACTTGTTCCTTTGTAATTACGCGCAGTACGACAACCGCTGTGATCCGAGGAACACCTTTTTATGGCCTGGAACCCGGCACCTTTCCCTCCTCTGCCGCGAGGAGCTCTCGCAGATGAACGATTTTTCCTGCGAGAATGCTTTCCCTTTACTTTTTAAAACCTGAAACGGTTTGGATGTTGCCTCCAGGAGAACGCGGCGCTCACTCTGCACCTATTTTCTGTGCTATTATTAGAGTCCGCGGGCGTCGGCGTGATCAAAGCTACACCTATGGGTGTCCCAGCTCCACTCAGGCTATTTCTGTATCTGAAAGAAGGAGTGATGAGGAAGACTGTGTGTGTGTGTGTGTGTGTGTGTGTGTGTGTGTGTGTGAGAGAGAGTGAGAGCAAAGTATACAGCGAGGGTCTCAACACTCAAAGTAGACATCGCCCTATGTTTGAACTACACGCCTTCGGCCGCGCAGCTCTCGCGCTCTGCCCTCTGGAGTTTTATTCCGACTCACACCCCCTCGAGCCGGCCCGGCTAAATACACCCCGGGCTTCTCGTAAATCAGGGAGGCAAAGCGCCTCCGACAGGGTCTCACCTCCACGAGGACAAACGGGCCGATGAGTGTCTCTTGAGGGCATTTGGATGTTTTATCCTGCAAATGTGAGACACAGGAGGATTTCACAGTTTGACATAGTTTTTTGGTTTTATTGAGCAAAGCGTAGAGCAGGATGTGAATGGGCTCTGGGAGAGAAGAATAAAGCACGCTTCATTAGTGCACAACGTCATTATTGCACAGGAATTCAGAGCGTTGAAACACAGACTCAAGCTATTTGTGGCTTTAATTTAAGTGCACCAGAAGAGAGATGCAACACTCCCAACGACACGTTCCCCGGAGGAGAGCGTTGCCCGACGTCTCTTGCTCCTTCAGTTTTGTTGTTTTCACTTTGTTTTTTCATCCTCGTCTTGAAGCATCCATCCTTGTTCCCAACGACTTTGATTCCCCAACACACTAAAGAATGAATCTCTTCCTGTTGGGCGAGAGTCCGTTGCCACGGCGGCGTGTTTTCTTAGCATATATCCCAATATGGCCGTGGCGTAACACTGAAGATGGTTTCGCCCAATTAGTTAAATATTTTGGACTCGGAAGCAACTGACAGTTTAGAATCCGGCTCCGTGACGGTTGAGCTGCTTTTGGACCAGCGGTTGCTGCTCGGCCCTGCTGTGTGTTTTGCTCTTTAGCCGAACAATTTGTAATTTGCATAGAAATAATTACACGTGTGTGTGTGTGTATATAAATATATGCAATTGTCCCACGCAGGGGTTTAAATAAAAAACGGAACATTTAGCAATTCACCGCTGAAATGAAAGGCCAAACTGAAGCAGTTTTGACCGATACCTGCTGGTTGAGAGTAGGAAGAGGTTAGCAATCAATGACTCAATAGTCAATAGTCAATATACAGCACAGAGATAATTCATATTTGGCGTTTAAGTATATCAGATTTTCAGAATCACAGCCACCACGAAAGATCCTTGAGCATTTTCATCAATGAGCTAAAGATGTTTGTCTCATGGGTCCAGCAGTAGATACAAGATCTTTGGATCGAGCTTAACATTTCCCACCTCGGGCGTCTTTTTCAAAGAGAGTGTGTGCGTGTGTATGTGTGCGTGTCCGTGTGTGTGTGTGTGTGTGTGTGCGCTTCTGAAGACTGGCAGACTGGTGAGATGGAGAGAACTGATCGCTCCATACGGGAACATTAACAACAAGATGAAAAGAGGGATTCTGTCGTAACGAATATGAATTACTACAGCGATTTGGCACTAAGAGCGTGACAATAAGAGCGATGTTTTGTTGTGATTGATGCCTCCTCTGCTCCTCCCACGGCCTCTCCTCCTCCTGGAAGTCAGTCTGCGAGGAGAAAAGACCCGGGCTGCTCCTCGAGGAGAATCTACATTGTTCTGGCATTGTGTGACTTGATGCAGGGCTTCAGGAGCTCTTAGCCTAAAATGGCTCGATGGAAACTGGATGGAAACTGGAGCCACGACCGTCTCAGCCATTTCGACTATTATTATTATTATTTTGACTCACCTAATAATAATACTATTTAGGGAGATGTAGCTTGGCTCAGGATGGTGGTGTCGGCTTGTTACGCTTGCTGCCACTTTGGTCCGTACTAGATTATAGATTTAGATCAAATAAATATCGGATGAATCCTACTGATCTCTTGACTTTTCCTCTTGAGCCACCAGCAAGTTACATGTTGCCCTCAGATTGGAGCCTGATCACAATGACCTTTTTTAATCTGAAGTATTGCATAAGCAACATGAATAGATCCATTAGATGAACAACCCAATCACTAAAGTGTAGCGACTTCCTTCGTCCACACGATCAACAAGTTTCCCTGCAACCCTCCGAAGACCTTACTGTGGATCTGCCGGGTCTCCTTTTTCCGGAGCATCGCCAGCGTTGCTGTTCCAACTATTTGTGCCCAACGCTGTGACGCAGACTTTTAAAGCGAGTTTTGTGCGTTCTGCGCCGTCACCGTCCCAAAAAGGAACAGGCAGATTGGGGCAATGTGCTGCGCTCAGGGGTTTAGGTCGCAGGTCATTTCCCGGTGGGATCAGCCGGCTCCTGCAGTGGGCTTGTGATAAGAGTGGGTATTGGAAGCTATGTAAACCTTGTTAAGCTGCCCTTCCCCTGTGTGCGGGGGGGTAATCCTAAACACCTGGGCTAGTTAACTGGGATTTGGTGGGATTAGGGCCTCCGTGAGGCAAAACCTGATCACGCTTCTGGTTGAATCCATTTCCATTCTTATCTTTTCACATTCTCTTCTTTTAGCATTCAAACTCAATCCAGCAGTTTTACAACGGTTATCTTTTTATATGTTATGACAACGAGTCGAGCAAAAGGGATCCAACATCCTGTGTGTTCGATTCATTTTTGATACCTGCAACTAACACCATTGCCAAAAGATTTTCAGTCTTGATTGCTGTAGAATTATAGCAATGATAATAATACAACCTAATTATGACTAATTTTATTATTATTATAAATAATAGTCAGCATCATCATGGGCCACACAACTGTATTGCTTTAACGAATTGTTTTCAATGGAATTCTTATTCAGGCTTTTATTATTCTGTCAGAATGTCGCGACCTTTTTGTTCCAGTTTGTCTGATATTGTAACATAATAATCTGTTCTTGCTTTTAAAAAAACAATTTGGCCAAGCTTGACTTAACAACTATGGAAACATGATTGCTATCTACTTCGTTGCTTGTCATTTCCTCTGAGTGGTGAAATCTCCTACAAGCGATCGCATGGACGTCATCGTGTCGCAATCGACAAGAATATTTCAGCTCCGTCCACTCACGCCCCCCCCCCCCCCTCCGTCTTTCTCCCTGTACAGATGTGGACGAGTGTGCCGAGGCGCTTGACAACTGCAGCATCGACGCCATCTGCCAGAACACCCTGAAGTCATACAAGTGCATCTGCCAGTCGGGCTACAAAGGGGACGGCAAACACTGCGAAGGTAACTGTCTTTAACCGAATCATGTGCTCATTCCGACATGGAAGTGAAAGGAACTTTTCTCATGTTGATTCTCCTTATCCAACCCGCCCCCCCCCCCTCCCGGGGCCTCTTGGGGGCGGTGACAGGTTTTAGAAAGGCTTCTGTCTTCATCAACAGAACTTATTAGCTTTAAGATCTCTCTGGGGAGGGAGGTAGTGAAGTAACGGTGAAAAGAGTTGAGGAGGAGGACTTCAAGGGTCGAGTTGCTTCTATTGGACACGAGTCAAAAGAAAGCGGAGTGCTCTGCTCCGCGCGGGGGTAGAGAATTAAGAAAATAGTCTTGAAGTAGCAGTTCGAAGGCACTTCTGAGCAGGCCGAGATGATATCCAGAAGACTTCGGGACACCCGGTCTTTTTCTTGTTTCCCGGCCGTTCCCGTAATGCTCTCGACCCTCCGCCAAATATAAAGGTCCCGCTTTTTATTAGTGTTATTACAAAACTATATTTCACAATGTCATTTCTTTTTTTGCCGTACTATTATTATCCTTTCATTTTCTCGACCGAGTGTTTTTCATGGCCTCCTGCCTGTGCGTCGTAAAAGTTTGCTTTATTGAATCAATTGTACAAATATGTGCTAGTTTGGGTTTCCACTGCAGTGAAGGTCAGCGGGTGGCTCCTCAAGGCCGATGAGCCCGAGCTGCACGATTCAAAAGCAACGCTCGTGGAGACGAGGCGTTTTTACAAAACGATTCAGTACCTGACGTTCGAGGAGCCCGTTGAATGGAGCCGTGCAACAGAACAACTCAGACTTTGTGCGGCTCTCTTTTATGATAAATCTATTTTTAGCTTCAACGACAGCTTCAATTCAACATGAAGCATCGGCTCTTAAGGTCTAAGGGGGAGTTGAAGCACGAGTTTTTATCTTCAGGGGCACAAGGATGCAGGTTCATTATGTTGTTCAAATGTCTGAAAGCAGATGACGATATGAACCTTGAGGCTGAAAACACACATTGAAGAGCTCTTTGACTGGCTAGCGTGAACTTATAGCAAGCTCAGACTGAAGTCATGTGGAACCAATCAACAAACTCATTTATTTTCATTTAATTCTTGTTTTAATCTATAATTGTTGGCCGCTTCAACACAAATCATTATTAACTTTTCTGTGCCCTCCTCAGGGGACAAAACATGACAATGAACCTCAATGGCCACTCAAAACATGCAGTTGTCAGAGTTCCATTACAATTTTGTATTTAATTAAATTTTAAGTTGTATTGTTTTTCTGACATCTTTATCTTTTTAACATGAAATAAGTCCTGGACTGTAAATCGTGCGGACGGACTCGTGACAGATGAAAAAACAAATTCCCAGCAACTAGAGAAAAATCCCATTGTTTGCATGTGGCGGGTGTTTCTGGCGTTGGATTGAGTGCCGTGATCGGGGAGAGGCAGAGATGTGAGCAGGAGGAGCAGGAGGAGCAGGAGAGCGCTTCCTTGTTTCAGTTCCAGCCCTCTGCTGTCAAGTCCAATTAAACCCCCGAGCGGGACGGCCTCACAGAGGAGCCGAGCGACCGGGCTCCTCGGCCCTGAATGGGCCCGTAAGTGCCGACTGCAAGTGCGTTGTGTTCTTACTCCACCTTGTCCGGGTCTCCTCGGCACGGCGTCCCTCGACCGTCAGCGTAACCGCAACAGACAACTCCTCTCAGGCTGTCACGCCGATCTGCAGCCGCTCTTCATCCTCCTGCTCTTGTCTGTGCGTCACGTTTCTTCAGTTTTAGCTGCTGGAAGTGATGGAATTTAGGGTTCCATCAATGCTCAATATCAGCCTCTTATGCCGTATTGGTCTACCAGTCAGCTTGTAATGTCGATGATGTCGTTACCTAATGGAGATTTGTTCCTGATGACGTACAATCGCATACAATTACATCTCCCCCTCACATCTCTATTTTTACTATATCTATAAATGGACGTTTTTTTTATAGCAGCTGACATCAATCTCTGTTTCTTAGTAGAGGGCTGTTAGTGCCCCATTCTGCTAAAAATGCTCTTTTCAGCATTTGCATGCTGCCATCAATAAAGCTCCAAAGAGAAAAAGCATTGGCAAAAAACCGGTGACATTTTAAAATATTAAACATGATATAAAATCTGTGCAATCTGCATGCGTTGTTTAGAAAGACTGGCTAAGCTGTGGCGTTCACACTGGTTGGATCAGCAACAGGTGAACCAACTAATTGCTGCAGATGTCACTTCATCCACGTTTCCCTAGTAAGAGCTCTTGCGACAGTCGAATGAAGCAGAAGAGATCACTTTAATTGTCTCTACTGTACCAAACGGCCTAACTGCACTCTGCCCCTAGATGACTGTTTTTAACATTGTGATAAATATTCTTTCTTGCAGAGATGCAGATTAGAGTGATAGTATAATATTGTAACGCTAATCCAAGCTAACTGGCTGCAGCTTGACATTCAACAGAGAGAAATGTTGTGTTCACCACATGGATCATGTGCATCCTGATCTCGATTGTCTCTTTCGCATCTTCTCTGCAGATGTTGACGAGTGTGCAACTGAATACAACGGAGGCTGCGTCCACGAGTGCATCAACATCCCAGGAAATTACAGGTGCACATGCTATGACGGCTTCCGCTTGGCACACGATGGGCACAATTGTCTAGGTGAGTGTGTGTGAGTGTGTGTGTGTGTGTGTGCGCACTCAACACGGTATGTGTGCTAAACTAATAGTTTTACATAAATCTTTTACAGCTGAATTAAAGCGAACTTCATATTTCAAACTCTGAAGGCTGACTGAAGCCACGTGGTTGCAGTTCTTCTGACATCCCGGATGGTGACATATGTTGCTTCTATTAGCTTTTATTTAGCAGGTAGTTTCCAATTGTGTTTTCACTATAATCTGACCAAAAGTAGTGAATTTATGGAGGGCTTGACCCTGAGCTGAGAGCTCCGAGTGACCCGTCAGCACAGCCGTACTTTCCCATGGTTTAATATTTCACCCGTGCCGCGTTCATAATAACCTCTCTGAGAACATATTACACTTAACAAAAAGGTTACAAACTGCAGGCAGAAAACTAATCCCCCCCCCTCATGCCATCTTTCTGCCTTGTTGCTTCTCCCCCGTCTCCCCGCCCTGCATTCCTTTGTTTTGTTGTGAAAGTCGGACCCCGCTGCTCCTCAGAAAAAGCCGCATTCTCTGACACTTGATAGCGAAAGCCGGCTGACCCTCATAGCAGCTGTGAGCAAGCGGCCACCGGCAGCGGCGGATTTCTCCTCATTGAGGTGAAGTGATGACAGAACATCTTATCGGCACTTAACAGCGATTCGCTGGGAGGGAGCTTTCACATGTGGGCACACGGGGCAACGCGCTCATGCGGGTTTCCTGGACGGACTGCATTAATCGCAGGGATTAAAAAGTGCAACGTCAACAAAAAAAAAAAAAAAAATCCACTCCTCTCATAGATTGCTAATAAACCTGCTGGGACTTGCTGCCGCGCTCACGTCTCAGATTCTCTCTGACTGTATTTGTCTCTCTGTCCCTCCGTGTCTGCCTCCTTCATGCGCTCGTATCTGCGGCGTGGAGCAGAGCTATTTTCCGAGCCATTGGGCAACGGCATTCAGTTGTGCGTGGATCATTTGCCGTGCCGTGGATCAGCTCCCGCCTTGCGTGCAGCTGTGTAATTGCGATTTATTGTTGTGTGGCTGCTGCCGTTGCATCAAACGGAGACAGATCCGTTGGTCACTTTGATATACGCTCTCACAGGGAAATGCCCACAATCAAAGTTTGTTTCCCCCCGTTTTATTTATTCCCTTAGACCTGTAAGCAAGAGTGCAGAGAGTTTGTTTGATAGCTGACTCAGGAATCATCTCATATTCCTGTGTAGATGTTGATCGAATGATTCATTAAGTGACTCAGTGTTTTTTTTTTAATCCAAGCAAGACAAACAGCAGCAATCCCCATCGATGCCTGTGTAGCTGTCAAGTACAAATCCAACTCTTGCCGTGGGACCTTAACGGACTCTAACGGACTCTAAAAGCATCTTTTCTCAAGAATTTAACTCCTTCTAAGGCCTCCGCTCTGCTCTGCTAAAGGCAATAATCCTCTGCACAAACACAAGAGAGGAGAGGACGGGTTTCATGTTTAAGGCCCCGGCTTCCGCTTCCAGGTCTAAGCTCCTTTTGGCCCCCGAGGAAAAAAAGATTAGCCCCGTCGGCCCCTGAGGAGTGAGGAGCCTCAGCAGCTGGTTCCCAGACGAGGTCAGGCCCTCCCAACCCTCACAGACCAGATGTGCCCGAGGCTGCAGGGGAGGAGACGACCACCCGATCCTCAAAAGTTCAGCCCACCACCCCCCCCCCCATGTTGTTTCTCCTAGGAGCTCGAGGGACTTTGTTTCATCTCAGCTGCTTTCCGTGGTTCCGTCGCCGCGTGAACTCTCGGCGGTGTCCGTGACTCCCTGATCTCAGCCCTCGGCTTTCCTTATAGCCAGTAGGCATCAGTGTGTGTGTGTGTGTGTGTGTGTTTGTGAGTCCCTGCCGAGGTCTCCTCTGTCTGCCGGCCGCAGGGCGCGCGTCACGCCGCTGCTTGTAATTGGATGTGTTGGCGGCATAATGACATCGCGAGGTGGCAGAAGGCGGCGGTGCGTGAAGCAGAACGCCGGCCTCAAGTCCGCCTCATCCGGGGTGCTCCGCTTTTCTTCTTTTTTTTTTTTTGTTTCTTCTCCTCTGACCGCCCCAAATCCCAGAAAGATGTCAGGGAGTCAGCAAGGTGGAAGCAATGCAATATCACAGCACGCTGCTTCTGTCTGTGCCGAGTGAGATGTCACTCTGTGTATAATTTACCTCACGGCGAGCTATTGTACGCGCTGCAATCACGCCCGAAGAGAGGAGGCCAGGCTTTTAGGAACTTGATTACATCTTTTATAGCTGGCGCGACTATTATCCGGCTGATGATATTTAATCACCTCACCTCCTTCGCGGCTGTGAAGGATTCCTTGAGTCTTAGGAAAAACAGAGGAATCAATGTCTATTTAATCCAAAACACACATCCTCTTTAGAATGAAAAGCAGATGCAGGAAGGCTATTAGCTCCCCACTGTAGCACCACCGTCCCCACATTTATGACCCATGCGTTTTGGTTGAGGTCCTACAGGCACCCACATACCCTCTTATTGTGACTATTTTGGTAAACTCTCTCCAGAAGCATCTGCGCAAATACTCCCCTCCTCCACAACCACTAATCACAACGCTCCACCTCGACCTGGAATTAAAATGAAGATGTTTTCTTATGCTGCCTGTAAAATGAGAAGACTCGTGTTCGGCCTGGTGTGACTCACCGGGAGGAATGAAGGGGACGGATGTTCGACGGAGAAGCGCCGTGAAAGGAATACGCTTCTACCGTTGCACGTTTACTCCTTTACATCATGCTCTGCTGTGTAAGTCAAGAGAACAGATTTTTGGGGGGGTTTTCTATTGACCAACACTGATTTGGTTTGTATTGATTCCGTCGTGCTCAATTCCCTGCGCAATCTGTAGGGAAATGAATGCCCTTTTACTTTAACCTTCCCCAAAGACGTAAAAATGATCTACAACACAAAAGCGATGTCATTACGGCTCTGAAAGGGCCTCTTGTGGCCCCGCGGTTAACAATCGCGTCCGTTCACACGCTTTGCCGTTTCGCTAATTGGATTGTAACGTTGTTTTTTTTCCCCCTCAATCTTTTTGACGGAAAACCTTCATCCGTAATCCACCACAAGGTCTCCGAGCGCCGGCTCGGCCGCGCCTGCCCCGCTGCTCTCGTGGTCCCGTGGGATCGTGTTGCAGGGTTGACTAATCAAACAGGAGGCTTCAGAGTGATGTATTATTGACCAGGTGCTGATGGGAAAAAGAAGTCATCAAAGAGCGTCACGCTGATTTTGCTCCACAGCCTCGGCAGGGCTCTTAAATGGATCCCTTTTAACTGCGTTGGCTACTCTTCCCGGGCAGGGAGGGTGTGTGCGTGTGTGGGGGGGGGGAGGCGGGGGGGTAGATAACGTCCTCACACTTCACTTGTGCAAGAAACATTTGGCTCTAGTCTGAAAGGATGGACGCACCCCCTCCTCACTTGATGCAAATACCCCCCCAGTTAGCAGTCACGTTGATTGCCGTGACGTGCTCGGATCGAGTTTGGACAAGAGAGTCTCTCTCCGCAGTTCAGGGGTGATGAGATGAAGGACGGATTTCAGATCGGTGCATTAGCTTGCTCCTGAAGAGTGAATCATCACACACACACACACACACACACACACACACACACACACACACACACACACACACACACACACACACACACACACACACACACACACACACAGACTCTCTTGCTTCTCTCAGGATTGTTCGGTCCCATCCACCATGAAATGAACAATTCCAGCTGAGGCGTCTGGCGGGGCTTTGGGGGAAAGTCAAGCCAGAGATTGGGTTCGGGGATGAAGCAGACTGTGCGCCTCCCATCGTCTCCTCGGTACAAAGCTGACACTTATCCGGAGTTTTTGCTTTTAAAATACTTCCAGACTTACTTAGAGGAACGGAGAAACGCTTCCTTAGCGTGATCTTGGCTCCTAGTTTGTTTTTCATTTTAGGAAATAACTCGGTGAGAGATTGCATTTGGAATCCAACCATGTGCTTATTTACCATTTCTGGTTACCTGGGAGACGGGTCCAAAAACGCCCCAAAAAGTCTGAATTCAATCCAAGCTGATTACATGTAACAAGTTTTGTTTATATGATCGCATAAAGCTGATCCATACCTGCTGATTTAAGAATTCAATGCTGCAGCAAACAGAGCATGTTTTGGGTGGGTCCGTGTTTGGAGGGTTGCGGGCGAGGGGGGGGGGGGCGTGCGTAGTCAATCCCAGCAACCCCAGCAACCCAAACAACCATTCACACTCACGTCCAAACACAGACGACCAATTCAGTCACTTCTCACCTATTGTCACTTATTTGATTAATCAAATATAAGTCGTGTGATGTGTGTCACACTCAGGCTGGATGTCTGTTAGCACGAAATCCAGTTTCAGCGTCTGTGAACTCAGTTGCCCCCCCCCCCCCCCCTCCCCCACCCCACACACGCACACCCAACCTCCCAACCCCCCCCTTCCTCCGGGCCAGGTTCAAACCTGGCACCTCGCTGAGGGAAGGAATGCGCCGCGTCATTGAACTCTCGGTAGCCACCGAGAGAAAGAGGAAATCCCGTAACCCTGTTTTAAAATAAGAGGGGATCTCGCTTTAATTGGCGCTGGCTGCGAACGAGCCGCTCGAGTCGGAAAGCCAAAGCGGGGCGCCCATGTTCATCGGGCCCGGGGGGGCGACGTGGCCGACTCCCGCCGTCCACCAGCTGCCCCCGCCGCACATGGCTCCCGTTTTCTGCCTTATTAAAAGCGTGTGTGCCTCTCCGACTGCCCAGAGAGGCCGGCGTGTCCGTCCACTCACCTCCTCGTCTCTGGTCCGTCTGGACCACAGAGACACTTCTGTCTGACGCGGCCTGGCGGGACGGACGCAGGGACGGCTTTGATGACAGACAGCGGTAGTTTTTCACGTCTCGACCCCCCCCCTCTCCTCTCGGCAGTAAATCGAGGCTCAAAAAGGTTGCAAACCAGTCGAATGTTCTCGGAAATAAGAGTTTGGGAGTTTCTGCAAGGCGACCGCCGTGTTTACATGACTAAAGCTTCGCGCCAGGCCAAATGTTATATATACAGTCAAGGCTATCTGAGAAACCAGCGGACACGGCCTGCGCAAACACAACCAATCTCTTAATCGCTCTCCGTTTGAACCCTCCCGTTCCCTCCGTCTCCTCGAGTGACTTGCGGACGGTGCAGGGACGAGTCTCATTCCTCACAAGCGCGAGGCGGCCCTTTTAACGTGTTTGAGACGTTTCGTACCCCCCCCCCCGTTCTCTCAAAAGACAAAAAAAAAAAAAATGTTAAGACCAAATAGCGCGAGCACTTTGCTCGGGCCGCGCCAGAAGCCCCCTTTCCGCCTGGAAATCTGGAAATATTTGCTTTGGACGCCGGCCTTGCCCAGCACACAACACAGGCAATTATGGGAGCTATTTAAACAGGAGAGATCTCCTGACAGGCGACGCCTCATTTGGAGGGATGAAGGAACCAGGAAATGAAACCTTCATTGATGGGCTGTAGGTATGGGGAGAGAATCACCCCCGGACCCTCCGGGGCCGGCTGTTCTGTTGCATTCACGTGGCCTTTTGTATTTTGGTGTGTGTGTGTGTGTGTGTGTGGGAGAGAGAGAAGGAAACTTTCTGTGTGTGTTAGGATGTTTTTCCGTACGAGTCTGGCTTAACAGTTTATCTGTAAAGGGGCAGCTGTGGGTTGTTGGGGGGCTTTCGTCAGCTTTAAGGTCTTCTCTCACTTTCATGACGGGCAGTCGAGGCCGTGCGGCCGGACCGAAGCTTTTTATTTTCCTAAACGCTCCGTCCTATGATATGAAGTCTAACCGTTAGGTTTCCGTCTTGCCAGGCGCCATGGCGCGGCCCGCATGTGTGTGTGTGTGTGTCTATGCGTTGTCCTTGCGTTTTTCTATGTGTGTGTGTGTGTGTGGGGGATTGGAACAAAGAAGAGGACGGAGTGAAGTTTAATTTCAAACTCTGCCGGGCTGAGAATTCCCCAGAAAGGAAACTTAATCTAGAGGCCTTCTCGGACTGGACAAATAGACAGTAAATTAGTTTCGCATGACGCTTTATTAAAAAAATACAATAAAAAAAGCCTTGTGTACTCAGCAGATCATTGATGCGTTGAGCAGAGGGGTGGATGATGTTCCAGCGCGGTGGGGCGTGAGGGACGGAGCGCGGGGTCTCCGGGGGAAGAGTCACCTCCAGAGGACAGTCACGCAGAGGCGAGGGGGGAGGAGGGGGGGAGCAGGGGGAGGGAGGCGCTCTGCAGCCCGGCGGACTGACGAGATGCATTTTAAAATTTCACATGGTGCAAGATGCATCATATTGATAAATAAACATATGTGCTTCTAAATGTTCCAGCACTGCTCATTTGTTGACGACCTGCTTTTTGTGCCGTTTGCGAGAGAACAGCTCGAAGTGCACGATTCATTACGGGTGGAAAAGAAATCAGCGGCGTCTCATACTCGCTCCTCCCTCCTTCTTCCCCCCCCCCCTCCACACCTCCTCCGTCCCTCTGCCTGCATTCCTCCCGTCACGGGGCTGACAGACACTCGTCATCAGCAGGTACTCTCTGGGCCGGGTGGATCAGGTTCCCCACTCGCCTGGAGATTTTGCTGCGTGTGCATTTTTTCCGACTTAGTGCTGCACAGTTGGAGGTTTTCAGTGTGTCCGATAAGCATTGAGAGCTCCTCTGGCTTTGCATCATATCCAAACTCTTCTTCGTGTTCTCCTTCTGTGGGACATTTGTTCTCATTCTTTGATTTTTTTTTTTTAAGTGAGTCATTTCTAATCTTACCAAAAAGAGAATTTCTACAAAGACAGAAGACAAATGACTTTTTTTTAACTTGAGTGTTTTCTGTCAAAACGTAATGAGGATTTATTTTTTTGTCTGCATATTCAATGGCGGCATTTTTTTGTATCATACTTTAATTACAACATTTGAGGTCATTTCCTTCTCAAATTTTACATGTTCTATTTCTACACTACATTTCAAACAGATACCTAACTTTACAAACTACTACATTTACATAATATTATTATTATATTATTACTTTTACTACTATCTAATTTTCTCCTCCCCAACTGCATCCATTAAATTCTGCTTACACATTAATGCACTATGACAATATGATATAACCTAAATATAAAACCTATACTGTCAAAGGCAACTTCAGAACACATTAAGCCCTGTTGGTTCGATCTTTGGTGAACAAATCCCTTTTGTTACTTTTCCGTGCAAGGTGTTAATATTTGATCCCAGACAACCTTCAGACAATAATCTGTGCAGTATCTGTTCTGTCTTACTCACTTTGTCTCATGCCTGTCTGTCTCCTGGCAGACGTGGACGAGTGCTCAGAAGGCAACGGCGGATGCCAGCAGATTTGTGTCAACATGATGGGCAGCTACGAGTGCCGCTGCAGAGAAGGATTCCTCCTGAGTGACAACCAGCACACGTGTATCCAACGGCCCAAAGGTTAATCTCTCACACACACACACACACACACACACACACACACAGATGCTTTATGGAAAATAGGTGTTGATGAAACATTTGAGGTCGGATATTCTTCTGGGAAAGCTCTTTCGTTGACCTTAGTTTAAATAACAGTTGGACGTTCAATCTTTATGCAAACTGTAAATATTAGCTGCCTGGCAAAGGTCATTTTGATGAGTTGTGCAGATTTAAACAGCGAACCGGATCGGACTCTGCAGGGTTTAGTGACCAGTGAGCAATGGGTGGTGTCTCCAGTTTAAGGGGAAAAAGAAAGAAGATAGGGAATAAATATTTTCTTGTTTTTTCTCCCACCCTTTCAAATTGAACCCTTCTCGCGCCTGGCAGCATTGTAAGGTATCGGTGGTATGAGAGGGGCCTACGGGGGATTGTGAGCAGAGAAAACAATTAAAGGTGTCGCCCGGGGGGCAGACACACCTCTTGTTTATGGAGCATTCCTGCTCTGAGACTCAACAGACTGTGGATATGCAGACAATTACAACGTCATCACTGTACGTGAGCCAAAGCGACTCAGGCTGTCAGGAAAATATCTCTTTTGGTGCATTTTGTCTTGTAGCCGACAATGGAGAATTTCGAGAGCACAGAGGTTTTAGACGTGGCTTTATATAGAGCTGTTCTATTGTTCAGACTAATTAAATGTTCTCTGCACTACGTGTCAACATTCAGCCATTCACACACACACATACATTCATATATCAATGGCTGCCATGTCAGGATCTGAACCTTAGGGGGGTTTTAATTGTGTAATGACGAGAGCAATTTCTCACAAAAGCAGTGGATGTACGGAGTCTATTTGTTTTCCTCTTTCATTTGGACTGTTGTATATTGTTTTAGTTTCAGCCTTTCCATTCGTAGTGCCAAAGACATTTTTGGTGAATCACTTAAGAGCTGTTTTTCCCGATGGGTCTTATCATCATTATATGAACAAACTAAAAGCAAACCGACAATTCTTCCAAACAATACTACTGCAGTGTACTTTCCCGATGTTAAAAACGCAGGTCATCGGCCAGGTCAGTGGCAGCGGTTGGCCGGCAACCGAGAGCTGCCGTTGCTAGGATACGGAGTGTCTCTTTCTGCCGAGAGCTACTGTCTGGAGCCGGGCGGTACCGAAGAAATGATGACATTATTTGCCCCCTTTTTTTTAAACGTGGTCTGCAAATTGTTCCAACAGCACGTCGCTGTGAAACCCCGATGGTCTGAAAATATGTCGCACTGTATCAAGTGCACCGAAAGTGGATCCTCGTGTGAATATATTGTTATAACATATATATAACATATTGAGGTCATAATATGCCATAGTCTAAACAATTGTGGATTTGGAGGATCGTGACCTCCCTGCTAATTATAATAGTAATAGTAGACTTTTATAAGCAGACAAACCACTGCACAGGACGCATTTATTCAAGGAGTAATTATTCAGCCCTCCACAGGTTTCTGGGCTCCGCCCCTCAGGGCCGTTACCGCGTTGAGGATCTCCTGCTTCCTGGACAGCTTGTCCGTCACGTGTCTCTTCATCTCCGTCCTCCTCTTTTGTACGATAGGCGCTCGTGCTGGGAGTCGTTAGGCCGCGACCCCCCTTCCCCCCCCGGACGGCAGGCCGAGGATCCTGGAGCTCCGCTTTATGAGATCAGTCTGGCCTCAAACCGTCAATGTTTACGTTCATAAACGCAGTGTTATTTGAGTGAAAAGCAGGTTCTTGTGTTTCAAAGGACTCCTGCTATATCGGTCAGAGGCAGACTGAGCCTCGGTCTAGTCTCGCCAACCTTCTCTCCCTCTCAACCACCCTGTCTCTCTTTCACTCTTTCATCTGCCTTTCTTGATAAATTTCCTCAGTTCCTGTTAATCCTCCATTTCCATATTAAATGTGTCTTCATTGCCTCCAGATGAGACCCATTTGGACAAGAGATTAAAGCCTCCGTAAATCTTCTAACTTCCCTCTCTCAGCCGCTCATCGTTTCATTATTTTTGAAAGACGTACATGCAGAACAACTACTCATCTGCTTATTATTACTACTCTTATTACAGCAACGTGTGCGTGAGGGGAAAATGGAAGTGGCGAGGAAGTGACTCGCCGAGGTATTGGACAATAACCCCGCAGAATTGCTGCAAATATCACTCTGCGTGCTCGCTGGAAAAGAATTTGGACAAGTTGCTCTTGGGGGTGGGGGGGGGCATGGAGAAAATTAAAACTGATCTAATCTCCCTGCCCAGCGGCTTCGAATGCAGCTCCATCCGTCCTGCGAAGGCGCCCTCTTAAAGAGCGGCGCCTGGGGTGCCGTTAGCTCATGAGCATTATTGTTCCCATTAAAAACACTTTGGGCTTTCCATTTCTTTTCCCTGTTAACGGTTCAGGTGTTCCCCGCGCCGCTCCGTCGAGTTCCGCCTGCGAACTGGGGGGAGGAGGGGGGGGGGGGGGGGGGCGTCCCTAACAGCCTTTGTCCCCCCGCTGGGAGGGAGCCCTTGTTAACGGTGAATTCTTTGCCAATTAGGCGGCGGGGGTCTGCCAGCCTCCCAGCTAATGACGAGGCTTCTGCTGGCCTGTCTCTTATTAGACCTGACCTTCCCCCCCCCCCCGCCACCTCCCGCCGCCACCGCCCACCTCCCTGAGCAGGGATAACTCCGGCCCCGAATAAAGGCTCCCTCGTCTAGCCGGGCCAAAATGTAACAGTTCATTTTTTTTTCTCCCCAAACATTTCCCCCCGTCAGGAAATAAAGCCTTTTGAAAGGCCAGCCAAGGTGCTTAGCGGTTGACAGGAATGACGTTTAGGCCCAGAAGGGTTCCGCTGCTGTGCGCTTGATTTATTGTCTCTTTTACATAGGAGGATAACAGGGACGCAGTCTGTGTGCATGAGACGGGATCCAGCTCATTGCGAACACTGGAAATCCGAGCTCAGTCAACCCACACGTCCATATTTCTAGTCCTGTGCCTCATCCGGCCCGGGCAATTACCCTGAGTGTGCACTGATGGGCTCTTCTATAAGTCGCATATTGGATTTCTTGCGTGCAGGCGTATTGTCCTCAGCTCAAAACGCACTAAATATGATTGAAATTTGAATCTTCGGCAACAAGTTGAACCGGCAGAAGTCCCACGATTGGCACAGATTTGAACAAAAGTCGAGTTCCCGTCCCAGCGGGAATCACCGCGGCGCAGGAGAGGCCGCCTTTGTGTGGAAGAGCAGCAATCTGTCTGAAAGTTCACACCCACGTCGCCGGTGCATTAAAGCACAAGTATTTCCAGGAAATCAAAGAAAAACTCTTCCCCCGTGCTCACAACTCCCATTCGCTTCCCCCTCTGTGCTCCCGTTTTCATTTATTCCCGCCGGAGGCCCAGTCGGACGCATTTCGGAATTGCCGTTTTGATGCCGGCCGTTACGCGTCCATTTCAGGGAATGTGTTTTCTGTGCTGACCAGAACTGCAGCGGCGCGTTGAGCTTTCCAATAAATGTGTTCCGAATCCATAATAAACATTCTGGGTTTGCTGCGCTCGTCCTCTTCGTCACATTCCTCCCGTATGAAATCACAAACGGAGCCATTGAACCCTGTTTCAAAGGGTTTATTTCTGTTGTTGTTGTTGTTGTTGTCGTCCTCTGCGAGCACATTTTAATTCCGCAAAGTAATGCGCTGCTCAAGGGCAGAGCTCCATCACTGTAATGATGCAATGTTAATACTCATAACTCAAGTTTATGGCTACTTGTGTGCGTGTAGCTGGTTATTTATGGTCTTGTGCTGCAGCTGAAAAGGTTCTTGCACATTCCCCCCCGGTTGCTTCTCAGCAGGCCGGCCGCTCTGCGCGTTTGGCCGCGGAACTGTTTTTACAAGTGCAGAAGTCGCTGCTCCATTGCTCTGCAGCCCATCCGTAAAACCAGGCTCTTTTCCTTTTCTGCGGGGAGCGAAGGGAGCGCTGTCCCCTAAGTGTCTCCCGTCAGTCCAGCAGCGGAGATGAAGACATTTCGCTCTCTCTGCTTGTCTTTCTTTGTCCTCCCATCATGTGTTCTATTCTGACTTTGCCTCCTTCTCTCTTCTACATTATCTTCCCAGACTCTACCCTGCCCCCCCCCCCCTCCCCCTCTCCCCCCTCCCTCTCCCTCCTCCTCCCCCCTTGACCAAATATACATCAGTGCCTTTAGCAAACGTTGGCTGCCTGGCCACTGAATTCCGTCTACCTCATTTTGAGACGCGCATCCCTTTTTTCGCTCGCGGGTTTGTTGAAGGCCGGCACTGAGCTGGCGAGCCCAGCACGCCGCGCCGCCGCGCGCCGGCCCCGACAGCCAGCGGGGTTTTTCCACCAAAACTTGGCTTCCACCAGACGGCCGGGCCGAGACGCCCGCCTTCTCCGGCGGCCTTTTCCCCTTTTTTGATTTGGCAGAGAACGTGCCTCTGTAACGCACACTGCAGCTATTGTGCGTCTTCACAAGGAGAGCCGTGCTGCCTGGTCTGTCCTCGGGGACCACGCGAGGAGGCGGCGGCCGGAGAGGGGGGGGGTGACCTTGATGGAATGAGAGGAGGAGTGAAGGCGAGGAGTGGCACGTCCCCAGCAGGTGCTGCACAACTGTCTGTGACACAGATGGGCAGACGCGCACAACCCGCATGCATTATGCAAAACGCACCCGCGTGTCAACGCCGCGCGCATATATTCTGTCCGTTTAGCCGGCAGCATCACGCTCGCCTCTACGCCAGTTCAAACCGATTGGAGATGTATGCTTTGTGGAGCGTACGCTACTCGCGTGTGCTTCGTTCTTCGGCATTAGTGACATTAGTCCCTCTCTGCTGTCGTCTCCATCCTCCGCTTTCAGTCGCTCCTCTGTGAGGAAAAAGGGAGTGAAACAAGCAGCCTTGAGGAGCCGGAGACGGTGGCACTCGGGTGGATTCTCTCCGTGGACGTCGGGGGAGAGTCGCTCTCTCCGGCCATCTGCGTCGCAGCTCAGCTCGACTCGACGCAACCCGGCGGAGCTCCTTCGCCATTCTGCTTTTCTCACAACTGACGTTTTTATCCTCCCCATTAAAGCTTTTAAGGGCCCATTATCTAAGAGGAAGGAATGCTGCTTTAACAGTGTGGTGGCTCCACGCTAAGGCCCCTTCTTTTCAATTTGTAACGCGCCAACACCAGCTTCTTGATGCTCTCCAACAAGAGGGGGGGGGGCGTCTCACGTATGTCAGCGTCTCAGCGCGGGCCGCGAGCCCTCTGGTCTCTCTGGCCTGAGCCCTCAGAGCAGACCATAAACCCTCGGCATGCCTCCCGCTACTTCAGCCCAATTGTTTCAGTCGCGCTTCTCAGGGTCGAGAGCTCGCGGCGCTGCGCTGAAGAACCCGCGGCCTCCTTGGACCTTTTGTTTGGGGGTCTTGTGCGTCGGCCTTGTAGCTGGAGTTCCCATGTTCGCGTTGGTTCACTTTCACCTGTGATGTTAAAACCTTTTATGCTTAAGGTATGTTAGCTATAAGCGTAGCATAGCATAGCAACCTTTTCATTTGACTCTCTCAAGAAAGCAGTATTTCTCTAAATGCCAAACTTTCTTTAACACACGGGCTACTACAGAGCAAACGGGACAAAGAAAAAAAGCAGGATTTATTGGTTTGCGGCTGAGCTCTTAGTGTGGGGTGCAGAGGTCACGACCTCTCCCGGTGAGGATAAAGCGGTGGCTCCTTTGCAGATGGAACACTCCCACTTGTTTTCTTGCTTTGATTGAAGTGTTCCCTTTTCACCAGCAGTGCAGCAGTTTTGATGACGCCTGTCGTTGTTGAGCTGTGTGAAAACTCACATCCACTCTGGTAGCTCGCTATCTAAAAACGCTGCCTCTCCATTCCAAGACTTTGGGGTCTATTTCCTGTCCAGGTCTGTGCCTGTAAAGCTGTAATAGCTTTTATTAGTTTCTACATATAGTTGTGTTTTATGGGTCACTTGTTTTAGTGGATCGGGGGCACATGTGATCTAGTATTTACTTTTTCCCTCTCCTTCACTTTCCCATCCACCTCTTTATGGAAGGATGTTTTTCTTTCTGCTTCCCATTATTCGGTAATGATAAAAACTGGAGGCCTTCGGCAGCCAGTTAGAAGGAGCCGCACACTGGAGAACTGGGGGAAAGCGTCATTGTGTCAACACTTTGGCTTTTATTGGTCCTCAGAGAGACGAAGGACCCAGGTTCTGGCCCCGGTCCGTTTTTGATGGATGGCTCTTCAGCATTGGAAGGAACAGGGCTACATAAAGATAATGGTGGAGTGAATGGAGTTTTGGGACGTGCAGCCGTAGTAAGTAATCTTTAGTCTTTGGGGGTTACTCATCTGGAAATGCAAGCCTCTATAGATGGACACAAACCTGAGGAAGAGGACAACTGAATTCCACATCCTGCTTAAAGATCCACGTACCTCGCTGTGAATGAGCAGCTTGATCGAAGCAATAAATGCTTCTGTGTTGATCGAGGAAAGCTGAGTCAATGCAAAGAAAGTGCATCCAGTTCAACCATTTGATTTCAAGGCTGTGAACAACTAGTTCCAGGAGGCGTCCTCTGGATGCCGTCTCAAACAGAACTTTCTTTTTCTTCTGCCACGTTCTACATTCATGACGGTTAAAATGGCATCAATGGGTACGGGGAGACCGTCTACGCAGAGACTGTACGACGGCACGCGCCCCCCCAAGACTGGCCCAACGAGGCCGCATGCTCCTTGCCAAGTGTACACTTGCAAATGCAAATGCTTACATTCATAGGAAATAAAAGAATTGGACCTCCAAACACCCCTTCCATTGACAACAGATTCAATGAGACCTTAACGGAGACGTCTTCCTGCTCGGCGGGACGGAGGGAAGCGAGGAGAGATCTGTTTGGGTTTTAATGAGCCGCTGAGCTGTTTCACAACGAATGAGCCCAGCATCAGGAGCACTGCAGTCGTATTGTGTAATAATTCGTGCCGCGGGGGTCTCGAGTGGTGGACCCTCGTGCCAGGTGTCTGTTGTCGGTCTTCACGAAGCATTTGTACACCACGCAGAAATGAAGGATCCCATGCTTTTTTTAAAAGGCTTTTCTTCTATGATGTCTCCTACTGTGTTTTTAGAGGTTCAACGCGTTTTTACCGAATCGCTTCAGACGTGATGAACATGAGCGCTGACCCCTCACTGCACCACAATCCCCCTTTGATCTGAGTCTCTTCTGGGAGAATTTAACGAAGGAGTTTATTATTTTTTTTCCAGCGCGTTCCTCCTTTCTTTCCTTTATGGGGGGATTACCTCGAATAGAATTACAGGTCTACGGGATCAGCTCCTGCTGGGAGGTTTATCCTTTCAGTAGGAAGCCTTCTTCTTACGGCCTGAACTGCGTGAGCGTGTTCCGACAAGTGCTGCAGTCTTTGTGAAGGGGCACCGGGCATGTCAGTCACCAGCAGTAGGCATATATGTGACTCCGGGTCAGGACGCCTGACGAGCATTCGAGCATTTCTTCTCTTCAAATAAGCTTCCTTACATCTCATTTACAACCAAACTCCAGAGTTTTGCCCAATAATCTTTTGGCTCCGCAAACGGTTTCGTCATCTGTGAAGACCGTTAACAGACAGACTCTCTTTCTCTCCTTGCGCGCTTCTTTCGCAGCGCAACCGGACGGCTCGAAGGAGGGACCCACTTGCATGGACAAGAACCACGGCTGTGCGCACATCTGCAGAGAGACCCAGAAGGGGGGCATCGCCTGCGAGTGTCGACCCGGATTCCAGCTCACGCGTAACATGAAGGACTGCAAATGTAAGTCGTGTCAACCTGAAGCATAGTTCCCCTCTGAGAAGACACACACACACACACACACAGGGAAACACACCAGAAGGAGGATTTATAATCTCCTCGTGAAAAGGTAATGACGATAGATAATTGTACTCATTCCATAAATGCCTTCCAACAGATTCAACGTAGGCTGCTGACACTTCAGTTACATTACCATGCGGGGACCGATCTCCCGGATAGTGCTCGTGAAGAAAAAGGTGTTTATCAAATGAGGGGCGATCATTTACACAAGCAGGGCGAGCGTGGAGGTTACCCGAAGGGGACGGCGCTGACGGACAGCGCACACTTCCTGTTGCTGTGCAACGGAGATCCTCCTGTCAGAGCCGGGGCCGCGGCTGATGGGGGATTTGTCTGTGTTTGGATAAGGATTGGAGAAGTGTTATTCTATAGGTTTTTTTTTTTTTTCTTCTTTTTTCTGACAGCCCAGGAAAAGGGCAAAAGGCGCTGGGATGGTAGGGTGGAGACAGGATGGCGCTGGGAGCCTCTGCTGGCTCGTGCTCTTTTTCACTCTGTCATCACAGGTGTGTTAGAGGTGCCGGTACACAAATGTACCGTCGCTTAAAGACGCGAAATGAAAGCAGAAGCCTGGACCGGGTCCGTAAGAAATGTATAAAAGAAAGCTGTTCACTGCAAAGATTTTGCCCATTCTGTGTGTTATTGAATGCAGCCTCATTACGCTGATATTGACCTGCAAGTAACTTTTTCATAAACTCTAACCAAGGGAGTCGACATTCTTCTTAAACCGGTCCAGTGTTCACGGAGAACCGCTTGGCTTGTGTGCGTCTGTGATAATTCTCTGCAGAGGGAAGCTTCACCTTGAGGCCCTCCGAAGGACACAATGAGCTTCCGACGATTATGTTCCCGAACATATGGCCCATGCATGAGTGTGGTAGCTGAAGCTGTCGAAAGCCACGGCCCTCTCCGTCCCCTCACTGTGCATGTGTGTGTGTGTGTGTGTGTGTGTGCGGTTTATGTTAATGACCTGTGCTCTTTGATAGTGACATGTAACTACGGTAACGGGGGTTGCCAGCACATCTGCGAGGAGACGGACCACGGCCCCAAGTGTTTGTGCCACATGAAGTTTGTCCTGCACAGCGATGGAAAGACTTGTGTAGGTGAGTCGCCTCCTCCCGATACCGCTTCGCCCGGGCGAGATCCACGCGACGGTTAACTCCCCCCCGACGAAATGAGGTTTATTGTGATAAGTGTAGAAACGGGCCTTGTTACAGCAACTATTGATCCGTGACACACAAGGACAAAAGGCTACCACCCACTGTGCTTTCCCCTCTGCTGCTGCTCCAGTAACCTCTCAGCCCCTGCATCTGCTTTGGCTTTCCTTTTTCCTCTTCCTCCTCCTCCTCTTCCTCCAAACCGCCATCCCTCTCCGCTTCCTTCTCAGCCATGCAGTCAGACGCACACCTTCCATTAGCCCTCGCGGGTCAGTGCCTCCGCTGCGCCCCGGTGGGGATTAACTCGCTCACCTGCCCTAACCTTCCACCGGCATTATTTATCAGTGTTTGCCTCAGTGGCGTTGAGTTGAGCAAAAATCATTCAGCCACTCGGCTGTATTGAACCGTTCTGAAGGGCAGTTTCCAATCAGGTGGGGCCCGTAGAGCCAAAGCACAGTCCTAATAAACCAGCAGGGATCGGGTTCTGACAGTCCATCGACAGTCAAGGAGCGTTAACAACGATGTTCGTTGGGTGTAAACGTAGTACTGGCCATTACCGCAGACAGGTCCTCAAAGTATCCGCCGACTCAGCCGGAGTGTGGTCAGTAGTCCGCAGGCACTACGCACCCATTTAAACCGGCTCCACGCGTGCTTTTTTCTCTGTCGGGGGAGACAAACATGGTGATAGAATAAGCAGGGCGGACTGGGGAGGTGGTTTCAGTGGCTGTTAAGTTTTGGGTTCGGTTTGGGCAGCGGCTGATTAGCTCGATGCTTCTGGATTCCCTCTATTACCGCAGCCCTGATGAGAGCCAGACCCGTGTCAAGGTCTGGTCAGCCATCCTGTCGTTATTGCTCCACCCTGCGAGGCCAGAGATGGAGGGGGGCGTGGGCGGGAGGGGGCTCCCACAAAATTCACCACAACCAAATTATACGTTTTAGCCGGGCCGTCTTATTCCCGGGGGCGGAGCGAATGCACGTTTGGTGATTAGGAAGCAGGCGGAAGCCAGTTAAAATCTCTGATTTCCCGCATTACGGAGGTGGAGGGGGGCGCCGCTCTGCGGTCGACTCGGGGGGGGGGGGCGCTCCGTCTCCCAGACACTCTGTTAGTTAATAAAACTTCAATAAAACAAACACGCTGCCAAAGTGAGCCGCTGGCGGGCGAGTGAGTGACACCGGCGTTTGGAAGACCTTCGGCGGGTGCCGCCGCGCGCTGCGACTGTGGCTGTGTAGGGTTTCAACCATGAAAAGCTATTTGAAAGAATCCTTTCTTTTCGCAGCACTTTAGGAGCTGCACAAGTGTACACTCATATTTCCAGTTGGTGTGCTCGGTTTGAATGTAATAATAATGTCCCTGCAGCAAAGAGAAGTGACATTACCTCTGCTTTGCAGAAGGAAATTACTTTTTTAATTAGTTCTAGACCTTAAACATTTTTTTTTGCTTTTGGGTCAAAGAAATCATATTATAATCGCGAATTGAGTTTCTTGAATATCACCAATGAGAAAAAGGTCTCTTGTCTCTGTTTTTTTCTGTTTTTGTCGGCGCTGTCTTTGTGGCACATCGTGATAATTGCCCCTCAGCCAACGCATTCTTTACCAGTAAGTGGTGCGTAGAGTTCAATGGGTATCCATAGCAACCGCAACAAAAGGAAAACACACTCCCGTTTACCCTCAGCATTGATTTTGATTCAGTAACATTCAGGATTAATGGGGTTTCTGCGTACTTAATTCAAAACGAACATGGCGCCGTTACAAGAGCGGCTCCTGCCTCGTCTGCGGCTTCGTCGCCAGTCTGCTGGGCTCTTTCCGTCTGCCGTGGCTTCCCCGTTCTATCTATCCGTTCGTCTTGTGGGATGTTCATTTTTGACACATTTTCATTCATTCTGGGGTCGTTCTTCTCACCCAGGCGTGGGTCTGATTTTTAAAATGAAACACCAGCTGCTGCTCTGTTTGGAAGTGTTGGTTCTTTATCCTCCCACCTTTGTTCACACCCGGCATACGGCAGGTGACAGTTTTATGTCAGCTGAGCCTTTACGGATGGCACATTGTGTTTTCACACATGAGCACACACACACACACTGTGACGTATTTGTTGAATTTGCCTAAACAAACTGTAAAGTTCAAATTTGACAGAAATTAACTAAATGCAACAAAGTAACTCGTTGTGCGCGACGTAAGTTCAGGTGGCATCACGAAGGGGCGACCGGCACGTGGAAGCGTTTACGCTGTTTGCACAGCAAATCATAAACACTCACAAATAGCAGGCAGATGCGGACGTGCACAGAAAGTTATACAAACAGCCACACAACCGGTACATATCCAGCATGCATGCATCACATGCATGTAAACACACGCAGTCCACACGCACATGCCTGGGACATAAACACGCCGTGCTCTCATTTCGGGTGGTCTGTGCATTCATGCCGGTGTGTTCAGATGTTCCTCGCAATCCTCTGTCCTCTTTGCTGCATGTTGGGGCGGTGACGCGTTGGTCCAACTGTGGATGTGCACGCTTTGTGGCGTTTACCTGTTGCTCTCAGAGTTGAGCATCTGCTTCCTCAGCCGGCACCTCACAAGAGCTCTGAATCGGTCGTCCTGACCGCCTAAAGGCCTAAAGACGTGCTTTGTTTACAGGGATTGATTTATTCTGAAACACATCGTTTGTAAGGTAGTTATAATAGTGCTAGAAACGCATGATGGCTCTGACTGCTGTTTCCATTTTGCATGGTAAGTGCTTCAGGGCTCAATCCGTCATCCCGGCCGTATCCTGTGTAAAGAAAGAGCTCTGCAGAAAAGGGGATTCCCGTGAATTTGGCCTGTAGATAAAAAAAAAAAAAAAATCCAATCAATTAAAAGTCGTAACGGACATAAACAACAAAAGACAAATAGCTTTTTAACGACTGCACATAAAGTGTACGCCCGGGCCACAGCCAAACAACATTAGTTCTGAAACGATCTGTCCATAAAAGAAACCATAAAGCGCAGACACGACTCTGGCTGTCCCTGTCTCTCAGCTTGCAGCACTAACCTCCACTCGCTCTGTCTGTCGAGGCTGGCGGCGCTCACGCTAACCAGAAAAGGCCTCATCTCACACACCGACAGCACAACTGTTGTTTTCTGCTCCGCGTGGGATATTCAATTTGCATGATTGCATGTGGCGAGGTAACACTTTTATCCTTGAGATGTCACCCCGTTTCATTTTATTCGAGGATCCATTAAAAACAATTTCTTGTTAGGAAAATAATCACTGCTGTTTGCTCGGTTGTTGCAAGTAACATAATGTCATTCTCTCGTATGATAATGCTGCTTCACATGACCAAATGACACTTCTTCTTCGTTCCCCTCATCAGTCTGTGGTACAAGGCAGAGATAAAAATCCCTTTATCCCATTTTAAGTTTGCCAGGTTCCTCCCTGTTGTATTTACCCCAAATCTGAGAAAGAATCTCAAAGAAAAAGGGGAAGACACCTGCAGCAAACCGCCAAAGGCGCCTCTTCAGTGGGGGACGGAGGTCGCACTAATAATTCACTGTAGGGGGGGGGTGGATATGCTGTAAATCACACCGGATTAGTCCCTGTCACATGCTCGTGATTTACGTAACTGCTGCGTGCGTTCAAGTGCACGAGGACTAAAGTGGTGTTTCTACACTGTGTGCGTGTGTGTGGGTGTGCGCGTGCATGCAGGGGAGAGGAGTGTCCAGTCCCAGGCAGCCCCACAGCTGTTCCCCAATGGTAAATATGCGCTCCTCTGGCTCCTCCTCTCCATGGTAGGGGGGTGGGGGGGGGTCTGTGGGTGTGGGAAGTAGTAGAGGAAGCTGACCTTAGCAGGCACCTCTCCTCAGGGGCATCATCCTTCTGACCCTTGACCTCTGACCCCCCCGCTCCCCTACCTTCCTCTTCCTTCTGTGAATGCTCTCTCAATAACAACCCGCTGCTCGCGTCCAGCCGCACCTTTTCAAAACACGGCCGCGCGCTGTGAGCGAAGTTGAGGCAGGAGGGACGACGAGTTCGTCTTCCTGCGCGGCCAGTCTGTCATTTGATTAAGTATCGTACTTGGGCACAGTTTTGAGGTATTTAAATGTTTCCATATAATGCTACTTTATCTACTTTTCACCCCCTCGACCGCTTTTCAAATAAAGACACGGGTGAACCACATTTGAAAAGAATAAATGAGCGGCTACCAACGTTTCTGACTCATTATGATATAACTGCTGCCCTGTTTCATGTTAATACATTTAACGCCTAAAGGGGGAAAATGATCTAATATTACCTTTTATAAAAGTAAAAAATATATATAAAGAGAAGTTTTTTAAGACTGAGAGGGTTTTTTTTCAGCCGTGCCGTACTCATCATTTAACAACCATCTTGGCTTTATGTCGGGGCTTGTGGGGGGGGGGAGCTCAGGTTTAGAACCAATAATCTCTGTATAGAAAGAACAGTAAACCGCTGCTTGCACATTGATTTGTTAGTACTATCAAACCAATTATGTAATTTAAGAATACTTCACAAAAATATCTGCAGAATGTATGCTTATATTAATTATATTTGACTTATAAAAGTTTCTGCCGTTTTATTGCTCTACTGAATATGGATGTATTTGTGCACGCAGCTTTGGTCAAAGTAGAAAATCAATTTAGATGCGATCGGCTTTTTAAATGCAGACCAAAGGCTTTGGTTTTATTTGTGTCTTGATGCCAGTGAAATGAAGCAAATTGAGCATGCACGGTTCCTAAACGCCATCATCACGGCTCATTAGCTTTGGGGAGGGAGCCAATAATGTGTCCGGGTCTGTCTTCAAAGAAAAGAAGAAAGAAAGCCAGAAATCTCTCTAAACCACACAAAATAATCTATTACAAGGGAATATGTCATATTTCAGTCTGGTTTCTTCTATTCTTTTCAAAATTCTTTTGTTTTCTTCCATTAAAAGGAACAATGGAGAAAGTTTTGGGCTGAAACAAAGAAGAGAAATAGTTTTGTATTTTGAAAACATCACAAATGAGCTGTGTTTTAATAGCTATCGCAAAGATGCCAAAAGAAATAAACTCAAAATAATGCGATGATGTATCAGACCTTGATACTTCAAAGAGATTTACGATTAAATTATACGGCGTGAGACACTGAGGGAGGAGGCTTGTTCTCAGAGGAGTAGCCTGCTCAAGGTAAGATGTGAAACAATGTTTTAAGTTACTAGTTACTCACACGGAGTTTCCCTCCTGCCACACTACAACACTCTGACCTATTTCACTATTTCGTGTCCTAGTTTCTGTTTTTTTCCCCTCTCAGAAATAGAAACATTTGCAGCGAGAGACATATTTTGCATCCCCCTTTTTTTTTTTTGTTATCACAAAGGACTTTTTACTTTTCTTCTTCCCACCAAAGCCGCGTGTCCTCGGCGAGAGAAACTCTTTTCGTAAACGCTCTCCTCTCACCCGTCGGCGTCTTTCGTTTGCGGGACGGTGACAAACTGTTTGTAAACAGCCCTCGCGCCAACCTCCCCCCCCTGTGTGAAACGTACCCCGGGAAGGCCCAGCGTCAGACCAAACAACCGGCACGTCACACCGCCGAATATATTTACAAAATGTCTGCCCAGTGTTTTTACGGTAATTGCGGGTCTGAAGACGTGGCTGGTGTTCTTCCAAAGCACACAAACCCACACGCATACCACAGCAGCGCGTCTCTACCCGGCCTTCACGAAAACCATGTTGTCAGAAGTATTTCTTTGCTCTCTGTAGCACATGATCATTACAGTTTGGTGAGATGGCTGACTAAGCGCTTCGGAGGCAAGTCCCGACACCGTCCTGTCGTCTCGTCTGCCAACCGTCTCTGCCCACACCGTGCAATTATGTGAACCCGCAGCGCTATCAAGCCTAAACCCCGGGCTCGGGACCGGGGTATTGACTGGAAGCCACGATGTCAGTCACGCGGCCGTGTCTATGTGAGGTGCGCTAACATTAGCTTGCAAATGCAACCGGGAAAACAAACATCACGGCCACTTTTAAGTGATGTTCCCGACGTATGTTTCGTATTTTTTTGTTTATTTGTTTCGTTCTGAAGTGTTTGAGGCTTTTTGCAAAGCTGCCAGAAACTATTAAGCGACACGCACACACACACACGCACACACACACACACACACACACACACCGGTCTTCCCCTGATGTGAGGACAAATTGATTCTGTGATGGTGCTTAAAATGAAAGTCTCAGTGAAATGTATCACTGTGTGGAGAGGAGGCCTCCGCCATCAGGGCTTGACTGACTACCTCCCTTTTTTCAAAGCAGTCTCGCCAACACTGGAGGGGGAGATGGAAGGGGGGCAAGCTAGCTGAAATTGCTTTTTTATCCCCAAAATGCCTGGAAGCTTTTGTCAAAATACAGGAAAAAAGTGTCAGTTTTAGTCGGCATCCGTCTTGAAGTCAAACCTCTGCACTCGTGACGGAGGGAAGACAAATGCTCTGCAGAGGACTTTAGAGGTCGTAATGCCGCCGGAGAAAAGCAAACATGCGCACACGCACTTTAAAACACGGGGAGTGTGTGTGTGAGACCCTATATTGGGCTGTTAGATCTAACATTTCCTAATGACTGTCTCCTTTCATTATTCTCTTGCATCTTCTCAATTCCTTTACTCGCATCCAGCTGCTGCATTTATTTACTCTTTTCTTGTTTCCTTCTTTGTTCCTACTATTTTCTTTAACGCCTGTTTTACTTGACGTGATATGAAATATACAAGCCTTCAAATTATTCCTATATTACCATGATGCATATTTGCTGCTTTGATGGTGTGTGGGGGGGGGGATAAGTAGGTCAAGACAGCGTCTCCAGTGTACGTCTGTCTGGGGGTTTGTCTGACTGTGAGTGCCTGTTTGCCTGCAGAGACGTGTGCAGTGAACAATGGAGGCTGTGATAGCACGTGTCACGATTCGGTGACCGGCGTCCGCTGCAGCTGTCCTGTTGGCTTCACTCTGCAGCCCGACCGCAAGACCTGCAAAGGTAAAGCATCGCCCGCCCAGCCGCCGCCAAGTTACTCTCCCGCCTGTGTGCTCCCCCCCACCCCCCCCACCTGCAGCTCACAGGAGCGATGGATTCATTTGTGCCCTTGTCCGCTGGTTGGTTACATACTGACCATCATCCTCCTCTCTGGGCGGCTGGCAGAGAATCCACAACTCAAGTAAACCTGCAACAACACTTGATAAAAGAGATTTCATGTGTAGTGAATTTGACTCCAGGTGTAAGATTCATATTACGAGGCTGCGAAAGACAAGTCAGAGAGTTGGACGTCTTTGGTGAGAACGAGGACGTCGGCCTTGTAGTGTTACACTAACATCTGTAAGTGTAACACAGAAGTGCATTTTATCTCAGTTTGGTTTTAGACGTAAAGAGAAGAAAACAAACCCGAGCAGCTGCGGCACAAGAAAGCAGCGACTTCTGTGGAACAAAGACGCAGCAGAGAAGGGCTTTTTTTTTTTAATATTCCTTTATTTCTACCGGAGGATAAAGACTCAAGAATCAAGAATCAAGAGGCAGCCGCCTCGTTTGCGATGATGATGAGGATTCAGAATTAATCGGAGCCGCCGCCACAGCAAAGCACCGTGCAAAAGTGGGAATTAACACGCGACGTCTCTGCTGGTTATTGGCTGCAGAAATGAAGAGCAGACTAACCGAAGGGAGACGGACAATGATGAATTGGAGCTGTCTGCCCCGAGGCTTTTCCGTGTGAGAGCAGCGTCCCGTTAGAGCCACGCACAAAGAGATATTAGTGCTTCTAAAAAGAAAGAGATGGCTGATAACGTTGCTGCAGGCTGGATGTATAAATAAGTTGTTACCTGTTTGCTGAAACGAAGAATATAGTGTGTTGTGTTTCCCTCTGACTTTAAAGACCAGTTTAATTTCTGCACTTTTCCATTTTGTAATAAATGGTTTGATGCGTCCGCTGTGCATGATTTTCTGTCCGCAGACATTGACGAGTGCCGTCTCAACAACGGGGGGTGTGATCACGTGTGCCGAAACACGGTGGGCAGCTTCGAGTGCAGCTGCAAGAAAGGCTACAAGCTGCTGACCAACGAGAGAACGTGTCAAGGTGGGAAACCCCTTTCCGGACCGACAAGGTTTCCCGTGGACCCGTACCCCAAACCAACCTCCGTGCTTCCTTTAAACATATTTCATTTTTTTAATATTGTTGGGATGGTAAAACATCGCAACAATACTTTGCAGTGGGCTGCAGGGAAGCCAAACCGGGCCCCTCCGACTTGTTTGCCCGTTACGTTTGGCGGTAGCCATCGCTCAGCAGGAGCCGGGGCGGACGAGCTGCAGAACAAATAAAGAGTTTGCCGTGGCCGAACACAAGGTGTGGGGAATTAGTGCCCCACCCCCCAACTCCCCTTAGGCCTCTGATTCCTGCATGAATCGAGCCACTGCAGAAACATCTGGTGAAAGAAGACAGGCGGGGAACCGCGGGGCCGAGGTCAGCCTCTCTCTCTCCGAGTGGAAAAACAGACGCCGCTCTCGCGTTCTCTTCTCTTCATTGACGCGCTCGGTCGATATCTGGCCTGGGACACATCAAAGTCGCACCGTGGCGTTTACAATTGCTACACTGAATCACACCACTTTTGTGTCCCGCGGTACACAAACATCAGATGTTTGAGGTCACTGGGCTCCGTGGCCACTTTCTTGTCACTTCAGATCTTTTTTTTTTGGGGGGGGGGGGATGCCTTTCTCTGCGTATTCAGAGCAGAACAATGCAAAGTTTATTTTGCCATAATAGCACAGATAACTGAGAAAATGTGGTCCGTGCATGTCGGAATGTAAATCATTTTGTTTTCCGTGGCACCGCGCCTTAACCCTCTCCGTCATGCGCTGTTTGGGTGCGCGGGGGCAACTCGGGAACAGCGTTGTCCTTGTTTGGTGCTGTGTGTTTTGTCTGCAGAGGAGGGTTGTGATAAAGCTCACCTCTTGTCGAGTGAGGTCCTGCCATGCTCACACACACTCCACACCGCCGGCTGCTCCTTATCCGCTCCGCTCATTCCTTTCATTTTTTTTTCCCACCCGTGGAACGACAGCGGGGCTAAATACGAGCAGAGGGCGTCGCAGTAAAGCTTCCACTTTACGTTAATGATTGTCGATGGTTTAGTCCTGGCGTTGAAATCGATTTTATATTTCACTTGCAAAAAGCCTTCAAGAGAGAGGTCAAAATCAGAGCTGCAGGGGCCGAGCTGTCCTGACTTTTAGCCCCTATTAGGAAAAGCTCCAAAAACGCATCCTGAATTTTCATTTTGGTATTGAAGGACGTTGACGTGTGATTTGGAAAAAGAAAACCAAGTACATAAAAACCTACTCACTTTTAATACAACAATTTCCACTCGTATTGTAAACCACTGAATCAAAAAATAAGAAAACTGTACAAATTGATACAGCCCGTACTGATTTTCACGTTAACGGTTTTAATGTCTTTTATGAGACAATCCCTCCCAGTTTGTAAAGCAGGATTTTAAAAATGTTAATTTTCTCACAGTTGACAACAAATCTATGAAGTTCCCTTTTGATAAACATCAAATACCCCCATTATGCACGTGGCCAATCAGAAGAAGATGATTGTGGGCAAATGGTGCAGTGCTGCACGACACTTAAGAAGACGTTTGCTGTCTCCTCGAGGTGTTGAGATGTGTAAACTGAACTCTGGGTTTATCTCGGTTTAAACAGTCACGGTGTTTCCCTGCCGTCAGTGGACCGTAAATCAGGATTGGACACGTCTGCTGAGCCTGTCAGCATTCCTCCTCCCTCAACAATCTCCTTCTCGCTGCTAATCCACATGAGGGCACTCAGCGAGATGCTCATCAGATGCCATGTTTTCTCCAGAAGGGAACATTTTGATGGAGCTCTTATCTGTTCCGTGTAAACAATGGTGACCTTTTCTTAGCTTTGCCTCCTTGGGCTGCAGTGTGGAGGAAGGATGGAGGTTAAAGTAAAGCATCGAGGGCCGACCTGCAATGAGTGGGCAGATTAATAAAAAAAAAAGCAAAAAGGAGAAATACTTGATGGAAACTCTGGTTTGTTATTTCTCATTTATCTATGTTCCTCTGCACGTACATCACCTCTTAATGCAATCTTGCCAACCCACTGCATACTTTGCTTTTGCTGCCTGATAAATGCGGGTTGTTCTGCAGGAGTCCCAGATGTCTTCACACATCTCCTTTGTGGTACGACACAAAACGATATAATGATAAGTTGCACATCGACTTCTGGCGTCACTTGCTGCAACATTTTTCGAGGGTAAGCTGAGTCACCACGCCCATTTCCCACAGTGTTTTTTTTTTTTTTTTTTTCAACCCTTCCCTTAAAAGGTTTATGCTCGATATGCCCAAACCAATCACTTTTGCAATGCATCGTGCAGCGCGTGCAAACCTCATCTGTCACTGCCGTCATCTCCCCGGGCGACAAACGGCAAGGGCTGAACCGAACGTCATTCAGCTTGATTCGTGATGAAGAACCATAGTTTAAATGTCCCTCCTGTAATGTGTTGGTTTTTCTTACAACAAAAGTGAATTTAGACATAAGGGTTGTCAATTAACTTGTTTCAAGCATTTAAAAATGAACCTGTGGATCTACAAAGTGAATGACTTAATATTCACATATACTCACATGAACGTCCCTCCCCCCCCGACATGAAGCAATGGGCCCAGCGTGAATATATGTCAATATTATGTGCAACTCCATGCGAGATCTGTGCAGACATTTATCTGTCTGTCTTCTTGGTCTCTTGAAGGTAACCCGTCATTTAACCAAACTCCAGTAATTGCTGTGAAATACCCGCATCAACTGTTTAATGGCGGCTGGCGCTGCCTCGCGACACAGAGGAGGTTTAGATAATGTGGACGAGAGCCGGTTATTTCTGGGGAAATCACGGGAACGTTTTCTTAAATTAGTCAATTACAGTACACATCCAGCAAAGTCTTGCACATCTCCACTTTCTCCCCCCGATGGGCTGCCTGGGCTTGACTTGGATTTTTGCTGACATTAAAAGAAACCTTTTTATGGCAATAAAACCAAATCCTTCATCTCCTGTAGCTTCATGTATCAATCTCAAAGGCAGACATTTCAAACGTCTTATCGTGATTCATGAGTCCGAAAGATAAGACGGGGTCCGTATTGAAAGGCTAAGAGACGTTCCTGGCAGGACGGGAGGGGAGGTGTTTTTTTCGTATTTGCACGTTTAGTCAGAAGGACCAAAGGCGGTAAAAGCAGAAATCTTTCTACCTGCGTGTGACATATTGATTTAAAAACCACAACGATCATCAAACGTTTTTAAACGTGTGAAATCCGCATGTCCTCCGAGCCAAAGAGAGAGACGTCGCACTACTCGGGGGTTCTGACAGTACCGTAATGTTAAGAGGAGGCAAGTGAGAGCGATGGGCAGGTTCTTTGGAGCTCCTCTTATCAAACGCTCTTCTGACTCCTGCTGTGGTCGCTTGTTATTTCAAAAATACTACGAAAATTCCATTTCAGCAAATCAAAATGGAAAACCAAATGACAGCGGGGCGTCTTGAAAGACGTCTTGCTTTCAAAGGATGCTCCTTTTTGTCCTCTGTATTGTCACCACTCACAATTCATGACAAAAGGAAAAAAAAAAAAAGAAAGTGTTGTGATTGTTTGAACCGTCTGAGAGCTTTTCTAACCGCCTGTCTCTTCTCTCCGCGCAGACATCGACGAGTGCTCCTTCGACCGCGCCTGCGACCACTTCTGCGTCAACTCCGCCGGCAGCTTCCAGTGTCTCTGTCACAAGGGCCACGTCCTGTACGGCCTGGCGCACTGCGGGGGTGAGCCAGCCTTGTCTCCTCCGCTGCTAACCCTCCCTCGGGTGCTCGCGTGTTTGCCAGGAAAGTAACGCAGTAACGACATTTTAAATAGACCTATTGTTCTATTTGAATTTCTACCGACAGCTGAGACCGTAAGAGACGGCGATTCATTTCCAAAGCTCACCTTTTTTTTTTTTTCTTCGTAGTTTTTGCCGTGTTAGCAACACATTTACAGGATAGATGCGTAGCAAGCTGACAGAGGTTCATTGTCTCAACAGGGTGAATCACGAACGACCTCCTGACCTTTCCTCAAGCGCCACCATGAGATTGATATCTTTGGCGTCGGTTGAAATTTCTCAACATCTATTTTTTGATCAGCAGGAAGTTTATCGTAATTGTGTTTTCCAAAGCTTTGTTTAATGTCCAAAGGCCAATTGTCTCAAGTTTATTTTGTGCTCGATGCTAATGATTATGCTGATTATATACATAACAAAACACCTGCTCAACATCGGCATGTTAGCATGTTAGCATGCCAGTGTTAGCGGGCCGCTTGTTCCCTGGATTCTTCGTGTGTGTGTGTGAAAAGTTGGGGGGGAAAAAAAAAATCAACTTGATTCAACTCGAACGGTAATCCATCATTTGGTCTTAATTTTGATTTAAATTGTTCACCTTTTCACCCATTAGCTGCATATCACAGTTCCCTTTAGATACACACACTGAGAAGTCTCCACATGCAACCGCATTCTTGTCCAATAACCACATTTCACTGAATGACTAATGGACCGTCCCTCCCGAGCCACTTTTAAGTCTCTGAAAGTTGATTTGTATTTGGAAACAGGCAGCTGCCTGCAGGGCAGGAAATTAATCTCCGAGGTCTTGCTGAACTTGGCTGCGAGGTGAAGTGTTGGCGATTCGTGCCGTAGTTCCGCGAAGGCGAAGGTGGAGCATGACCCTGTTCATCCGGCGCTAACGGGCACTTACGGCACTCCGGTCTGGACCAGATAGCAGGCGCAGCCCTTTGGTGTGTGTGTGTGTGTGTGTGGGGGGGGGCGCGTCAGATGTGCCTCACAGGCAGCGAAGACGCCCGCCGGAGCACATCAGGCTGTTGCGGCGGCTCTTTGATGGAGCGCGTATCGCCAGTCAGGATCTGCGGCTGTCTCCTGCGCCTCGGGGGCCTTCGCTGAAGTTCTGCTCGAGACGGAGACAGCGCATGCACTTGAAGTACGCAGCTTAGCGGTGATTTGTTCCGGGGTGTTTTATTTTTCTCCGTCTGGAGCTCTGACATGTTGACTGATCAGGAATGTTGCCACAGAATGTAGAGTGAGGAACGAGGGCAGGGAGCGACCACAACACGTGTGGTAAACACAACAGCCTAGTCACACGCTCAAAGAGGGAGAAATGGGATCTTAATGCAAAATGGCAAATTGAGGCAGCTGTATTCGCTGCCTCCATTGAGGCGATAATGGGTTCGTGGGGCCTTTGCCCATGTGACGGACGCTGCTGAGGCCGCTGTGAGCCGCTGACTGGAGAGGAGATGGTCAGGCGCAAGCGACTCCCCGTTGCCCCAGACAGGAGGTGATGAACGGCTTCCTCTCGCTTTTCGTCGGCGCTGCGACAACTGTTAGATAACCCCGGAGATTTATGGCCCTCCCCCGTTGTACCTTTTCACTCCCGGGCCACAACCCCGAGGTTATGTTATTCCACGTGTGGTTTATCAGACGAAATATAACTGCCAAACAGTCCAGCAAGAGGTACTCAGTGTTTAACAATAGAGCCGAACCCCCCCCTCCCCCCAAACAAACCCAATCAGGTCAGTGACCTGCTGTCGAGCTTTGTGCCGAGGCCTGTCAACATTCCTCCCGACTGAGATTATATGCAGCCATTCTCCCCCCCAGCTGGCAAAACAATCCGCTCGTTTCCGCTGAATTCGTAGGGAAATAGTTTGACTTTAAATACTTTGTAATTATGTTTTAATTCACCCCGTCTGACCCAACCAGGGATCCTCAGCAGAGGGGATTTCTTCTGGTACTGACACTCGTATGTACACATGGATCTATGAGAACGTAAACCACACGTTTGAAAAACACTGGGGGAAAAATCCCTCTTAAATACTCGACACTGTTTGGACTGGTTGTTCCTGATGTCGATGATGACTCAGCTCACAAAACCGATTAAAATTAGAGAAGGGCAAGATTTCCATGAACTCCCCAAAACCATCACGGAATTCCTCTCCAGTGACGCGACGCCGTTGTCGCGGGCTCACTGTCAGTTTGTCTCATTTGATTTCCCTCCTTGATTCCCCTCCCCGCCCCAAGAGATGAGCGTTCGTTTTTAACGTTTACAACAAAGAAGTCCAAATAACAGTTGCCTGCCGACGCTCCCATCAGAGCGTTAGAGCTCTCCGGCCTTCAAATTAGAGGATAAGCGGCGCTCCTCGCACGGCATTTCCGAGCAGCTCTGGCAACACGTCGCTGCTGATGAAGTCATCGTTCTCTCCAGGGAGTGACTGTTTGTGTCCGGGCTGAATAACTGAATGAGAGGCGAGAAAAGAGTTTTTGTACATCAGCAGGCCGGATCATCAATCACTGCCACCATCTCCGACCCTTTCCCCGAGTCCGCAACCCCCCCCCCCCTTCCCCCTACGGCCCCCATTACGCTCATTTTCTTGTCGGCCTCCAGCCGGCATTTGATCCCCGGATTGCAGCTCGGCGGGTGTTTGTGTGGCCGATCGCGATGTACTGCTCCTCCGCGCTGAACACTGAAGGAGAATGCGGCGACCCCAGAGGGGAAAGAACCACTTCTGTTTGCACGCAAACACGTTCGACTTCCAAGAATGTGGCTGTGCGACAGGTCAAGTGACCCGACCTCTCCGGAGCTCCTCGTTCTGTTTACGGATGGGACACTTTGGCCTTTGTTCTACTCAATACCTTTTTTTTTGGCTACATTGTTGCTCAAAATTTTGTCAGTGGTGAAAAAGACAACAAGTCTTCATGTCAACCTGTTTGTCCGCAGACATTGACGAGTGCAGCATAAACCGCGGAGGCTGCAAATACGGCTGCGTCAACACCCTGGGGAGTTACGAGTGTACCTGTCCACCGGGCCACAAGCTGCACTGGAACAGGAAGGACTGTGTTGGTATGTAGCAGCATTGCCCCCCTGTGGTGAACGCACTGACACACACACACACACGCAGCCTTTCCGCTCTCTCTTTGCTGACAGTGTGTAATTAATCGTGTGTTTTTTACTTTTTTCTCTCAGAGTTGGTGAAATGTCCTCTGGGACTGTTGGCGCCAAAGGCCACTCTGACCTGTAGCAAGACGGGCAAGAAGGAGAGCTGCTCTCTTACCTGTGCCTCCAAGGCTCACTATCTGGCAGGTATGTAAACCCCCCCCCCCTCCCAAGTGCAATAAAAAAAAAAAAAAATCATTTTTAACTGGACGCGCGCCATCTTTTGCAGAGTCGGATAACAGCTACTCGGTCAGCTGCGGGATCCCCATCCTCCGAGGGAAGTCCCCCTCCAGGCTCAACTCCAGCAGCCAGAGCTGCATAGGTTCGCTGCCCGTTCGGGTTCACACAGTCAAAACACCTCCTGGCCGCAAAGTGTGCTGCCCCCGACCCACTGTGCTGTGTTTGTCTGTAGAGACTCTGGCCCCGCCAGTGAAGCAGACGGCTTCTTTCAAGATTAAAAACGCCAAATGTCACCTGCACCCGAAGCTGACCGGCAGGACGGAGGACAGAGGACGGACACTTGGACCAGGTGAATCTGTGCTACGCGTAAAAAAAATAAAAGCTGACGCAATTATCCCATCAGTTACTTTTTTATTAGTAATGACTTGATTTATTTTTTTTTATTTTATTTTATTCACAGGTTCCGGTTTTGTTGTTTCTTCTTTTTTTTTTTCGTCAGATACGATTTATAGTTTTGGGCTTTAGACCAAACGATAAAACAAGCAATTTGGGTCCGTCAAATTTAGAATATGCATCTTTCACAATCATCTGATAGTTTATGAACAAAACAATCAGTCAATTAAAGGAGATAATAATCTGCAGACAAGTGAAAAATACTAAATAAAATGGCAGTTGCAGCCGTAATGATCCTGCCAATGGTGTAACTGCTGCCGTTGAGTCATATTTCTCAAGAAATTCTAGATCTTGCCTCTCTGACACAAATCAACGTGAATCGTCATTTATTGACGTACGATTGGGGGTTTACTGATTCGGTGTCGTTCGCAGGAGGGGGGCAGCCCTGCAGCAACTGCCTGGTGACATTTGTCAACCTCAAATGTGACTCTTCTAAGAAGACTAAAGGGCGACGTGCTCGCAACCCGTCTAACAAAGAGGTGACGCGTATAACGCTGGAGCTGGAAGCTGAGGTCAAACCTGGAGACACTACAGGTCGGTCATCTTGTTTAAAGCAGTTACTGTCTCTCTATGACGTTTTTATCCTTCAGTCTCCAGCTACAATACAAACAACAATGGACGTATTGGGAAAATAATCCCCATATTAATCCGTACTGAAAATATCCGTTGGAGTTACAGTCCAACCTGATCAGGATCGGCTGCGTTGCTCGTTACGATGACGCTTTTGTTTTATTGGACCTTGAACAGGGAGTTGCAATCTCAGCTGCCTGAGACAGCGCATGGAGAAGCAGGTCAAGACGTACATCAAGGCCCTGAAGAAGTCCATCAACCAGGAGCGCTTCCTGATCCGAGTCGCCGGTCTGGAGTACGAGGTCGCCCAGAAACTCCCCCAGGCAGCTCCGAGCCACGAGAACTGTGGCCCCGGCTGGGAGAGGGACAGCGGGCGATGTGGTAAGACTGGACGAGCCGGACGAGCCGTCTCACTGGGACGAGATGCTGTCGTAGCCTGTGATGCCTGTGATATAAATTATTCCTTTTAGTGTTCTAGTACACACTTTGATTGAAATAAGAAAATGGGAATGGATCTGAGGTGAGTTCTCTCTGACTGATGCCGTTGTGGATGTTCCCTCAGTCAGATGCCTGCCGGGGTCCTACTACCACGGGGAGCAGGAGCGCTGTGTCCAGTGTCCGCCTGGCACCTTCCAGGAGAGGGAGGGGCAGCTGGCCTGTGACCTTTGCCCCGGCAGCGACGGCCACGGCCCCGTCGGGGCCAGAAACATCTCCTCCTGCGCAGGTAGCCCAGTCCTCGTTTGTACAAACGTCTGTTTCTGATTGTTAATACGAGCTCCTGCTTGTTAAAGCGTCCCTGCGTCCTGTGCAAATCCATGTCTAGGACAATGTCCAACGGGGTCCTTCTCCAGCGACGGGTTCAAACCGTGCCAGCCGTGTCCCCAGGGCTCCTACCAGCCGGATTTGGGACGGACCCTGTGCTTCCCCTGTGGGGGAGGCCTGGGCACCAAGCGGGAAGGTGCCAGCTTCTTCCATGACTGTGAAGTCAAAGGTCAGCTCGGGCTGTTTTTAGTCAAATAAGGAAAATACACACAAAACAACAAGTACCACAAGTATTAAGCCGCTTCCCTTCCGCCCTGCAGTTCAGTGTTCTCCGGGTCATTACTACAACACCACGGTGCACCGGTGCATCCGCTGCCCGGTGGGGACGTACCAGACAGAGTTTCGGCAGAACTACTGCATTTCCTGCCCCGGGAACACCACCACGGACTTTGATGGCGCCACAAGCGTCTCGCAGTGCAAGAGTGAGTAGGAGCGTGACTTCCTTCCTTCCTTAAACGCGAGCCGGAGCCTGGTTTGACTTGGTCTTTGATGTGTTCCGGGTACGTCCAGACAGGCAGTGCGGGGGCGAGATGGGCGAGTTCATGGGTTACATCGAGTCGCCCAACTACCCCGGTAATTACCCCGCTAACGTGGAGTGCATCTGGAACATCAACCCGCCCAGCAAGCGCAAGATCCTAATCGTGGTGCCGGAGATCTTCCTGCCCTCGGAGGACGAGTGCGGAGACGTGCTGGTGATGAGGAAGAACTGTGAGTGTCTCCCCTTCCGCCCCCCCGACCCCGTTTCAATAGCGTTCTCGATTGGTCACCACCGTCTCGTATGTGCACCTACAAGGGTCGGCCACGTCCATCACCACCTACGAGACGTGCCAGACGTACGAGCGGCCCATCGCCTTCACGGCGCGATCCCGACGCCTCTGGATTAACTTCAAGTCCAACGAGGCGAACAGCGGCCGAGGCTTTCAGATCCCCTACGTCACTTATGACGGTGCGTGGCCGTCTCGTTCATCACACAGCGCCTCCGTATCACAAAGAAATATGTCAGGAATGCCAGGAGGGAGTTTCTTCTAAAGTTGACTGTAGATACACAGTTTGTTACCGCGACCTTTTAATGGCACCGTGTTCTTTCCATGCTACGTTGTCTTAAAGTGTTTCTCAGAATATCAAGTTGTGATTAAAAGTGATTGTGTCTTGCGTTTGTACAAAATCAGAGGACTATGAACAGCTCGTAGAAGACATCGTGCGAGACGGAAGACTCTATGCCTCAGAAAACCATCAAGAAATCCTCAAGGTCAGCAGATTTACTTCCTGTGTTTGTCGGGCTTCGTTTCTTGTTCATTCTACAGGTGACTCAGTTAAACAAGAAGCTGCACCTTAAGGCGCGTTGGTGCAAAACAAAGCTGTTGCCAACAAACATTAGCACATGATTTTGTAAAGCAGGCGTGTTATGCGTTTAGCAGCCATTGTGCAACAGCTTCAAATGTTATTCAAGCGATTGTTAAGGAGGAAAGCAAGTTCAGTTGGTAAAGATCAACTTAAGCAAGTGCGTTGCGTTTACACCCGTCTGTTCTTCCCTACAGGATAAAAAACTGATTAAGACTCTTTTCGACGTGCTGGCTCACCCAAACAACTACTTTAAGTACACCACTCGGGAGTCCAACGAGATGCTCCCTCGCTCCTTCATCCGCCTCATAAGCAGCAAAGTGTCCGCTTTCCTGCGACCATACAAGTAAAGCTGAAGCACGGGATTGTGACAGCCCCCCCTTCCCCCTCTCCCCCCTCTCCCCCTTCCCTCCCCCCCTCACCCACAGGCCATCCCGCAACTCTCACAGGACACCAGTCACCCTCTCTAACTTCCCATAGGCTTCGACAGTAAACACTACACGCAGACCTGAGAAACTTTTAGTTTATTTCTCTCGGTTGGGCGCCGGTCTCGCGGGCATCACGAGTGGCTTCGGGTTTCTGTTGTGCAATGAAACCCCCCAAAAAGAAAAGAAAATGGAGACGGCCATTTCAGACGGCGGGAGTGACGTTGCGCGTGCGCGGCCGTTAAGTGTGACTGTGAGTGTTGTGCATGTGTTGTGTGACCCTGGTTCCACCCTCGGTGTCCTCGAGGAGGAGCGGCGGGTTGGATTCGCGTCGCGTCCGCGTTCCAGGTCGTTGGAGGTCGCGCCATGTTTGAGCTCTTAGAGCCGCTTCGAAAGGTTTTTGCTGTTAAAACAGTCGATGTTTTTGTTTCGCGCCCGTCAGCGTTTTCCGACCTTCAGATGGTGTTCTGATGCTCTTTTGTTTCTACGGCAACACAAATGGGCATAAGTGCACATCTCGGAGATGAATAACAAACTAATAAACGAGAGTGTGACGTCTAGTGGAACATCTCTCAGAGAGAAAGAGAGAAATGTCTTCGAGGGACATTTTGTTTGCTGCTTCTTTTAAAAAGGTCACTTTAATTCTTCAATCTCATATTTTCTTTCTGATGTCGTCTACAGTCTCTAGGTTTAGAACTAAGGAAGCTCCAACGTCTGAAATGCTTAGTTCTTACACACAGAAGGTTGATGTCACATTACCAGTTTGTGTGTTTTTATTTCAATTTTGTAAATAATGAAAATAAACTAGACGAGGGTTTAATTCTTTAATCCTAAATTTCGTACGCAGGACCCCCAAAATTGTTTTTTTCCCCCCCCCACCTTCATGTCCCACCCGTCTCAAATCCAAAGACACCCAGAACTCCCTTCTAACACCCCACTTGCATTTTGTTCTGTCCCAATGAAGACAGCTCTTCCAAAGACCGCCCAAAAAGGTGGGGTCACTTTGTCTTGTGCACTAAGTTCAGAGCCCGCCATCCTACCTTTAAGTACAACGTGCAATGAGTGAGAACACATCTTTATTTTCGGTTACACCCTTTTGTGACCCACAACAAAGCTCGTGAAATGGGATTTAGGCTCTAGGATTCTTTTTGGGACGCGTTGTATTAAATATGTATCAGTCACTGTGGGCGGGAGACGTTTAGGTTGCAAAGTGTAACTGCTCTTATTAAGAGAGGGACAAAAAAAATATATAAAGTCAGTCAAGAAACATGACAACTTGCTGTGTGAAAAAAAAAAAAAAAAAAAAAAGAATCCAACACTATGCTTCATGTATATAAAAGGAATTGCTTCACATATGTAATGAAATACGCTTATTTTGCCATTTTACCAAGAATCAGATGAGATTGACGCCACTCTAATCTGGACAGATCGCACAAATACTGGAAACGGAAAAAAAAAAAAAAAAGGTGACCACGTCCGTCTCAAAGTAACAAACCACAGCTACTTATATGGTGAGGACATTCCTGGACTCAGTGACTCCAGAAAGACTCTCAGCAAGAAAGGGAATGAATATTTCTCATTACGTGTGGGCGACTCTTTAGCACCACCCCGTCGGTGGAATTGGTAGACGACTGTGATTAGAATCCCAGCTTGTCAAACGTCCGGTTCAGGTGGACTGATCTGCGTGAATGAAAATAAGTGGTCCTGGATATGAAGCGTACCCTCACCGCTGTATTAAAAATAAAAAAGGCAGAGCCACCCAAACTTTAGGATGACAAAGGGACTTCAGCCGCATCGTGGAACCGGGGCGATGCTGGGCCGAGCCACGAAGACCCCATGGCAGGTTGAAATCCCCCCCCAGACTGCTCAGTACGTCCAAGTACTGCCTGCAAACAGAGGTGTGCCCCTCGGCCAATAAGCCCCAAACCCACCCCCCCCAGAATCAGCTTCTTTCCTGCAACCTGAAAGTTTTTCTGTTGCCTTTTAACGAGAGTTTGCTATGATGTATCATAGAGTTGATAATGATATTTGCACTTGAATTGTTATTGCTCATGTAAAGAAATGTCTGGATTTTTTTTATTGTCTTTTTAAATGAATGGAATTGGTGTTCTTATTTTCTGGTAGCTTGTTTGTTCATGAAATGCTCACTCACCGTTTAGTCTATAGAGATGATACATAACATTATCAACTGTAAAAAAAAAAAGAAGAAAAAAGAAAAGCTATGTACAGAGGTGAATGAAACCGGTTTGTACTTGTTACTTCCCACGACACTTATTGAAATAAACATACTGTACTTCAGCTTCATTTCAAACAGATTTTAATGTCTCTATAAAGGAGTTTACAAAAGTCTTTTGAGTAAGTACAAAAATATCGCTGTTGGAGTATTATGACTACTTTTCGAAGGAAGAAAAAGCTCAAGAAACCGTTTTTTCAATCCTCTGCTGTTGGACGGAAGGATGTAGTTTCAACTTCTTCGGTCGTGATCACTTCCGGCTGAAACGATTACCTGAAATAAGAATGCGATAATTAATTAAAGGTGTTATAAAACTAAGAATATGCACTCGTGCGCAACTAAAGAATCGAATACTTTCGTGTACATTTAGGGAGGCCAGGTGACCATCCGTTGGCACCACAGGTAACGGCTCTTGGGCCGGTCTTTCTGTAACCGGGGTAACAGTGTATCACTACGCTGTCTCTGTCCTGGAACAACTTGTACCGACGTCCCCTCCAGTAGGCATGAGGCACATTTGGATCCGGACACGTTATTACTGGGAGAAAAAAAAAAAAAACAGATCATCAAATAATATTCTTTAAAAGTATTGCGCAAGATTTGAAACATTTTAACCTTTGCATTTAGGAGGAGGATCACTCCATGTCCCGTCCTTGGTGCACCAAATGTTCCTTTTTCCGATCGGAGTTCCCACACGACACTGATAGCGGATCACAGAACTGTATGTGTAGCCGGACTCCTGAGGGTCCATCATCACTGCGTTGGTCTCCTCTGGAGGCTCCTCACAGGCAACAGCTGGAAAGAGGCACACAAGAGTTGGCACAGCTAAAGAGGAAGGAAATGTAGAAAGCACAAAAAAGGATGCCAGATCACCACACCTTCACAGACAGGAACACGACCGTCCCAACCGCCACTCAGGCAGTATCTGGTTGCCTGCCCGACAAGACGGTGGCTGAATCAAAGTGCAAAAACAAAGATGGAGAATGCAAAACATTTAAATTGAAAATAATTACAAAAAAAAAAAAAAAACACAAAAGGGGGCTTTCCTTTCAAAACAGCGCGCGTATGACACATTTACCGCCCTGTGAGGTCTCAGCAGCGGCCCTTTTTATGTATACAGTGGTAGAAGTCTTACTTATTTTGTGTCTATGGTCAATGAACAGTGCAGAGAACCCGACTTCTGGACTAGTCCGATAACCACAGCAAAGAGAATGAGAGTAGGGACATCTTACTGTAAGCGCACACGCACGCACACACACACGCAGACAGAATGGAGTGAAAGGGTACAAAAATAATGAAATAGGGCATTTCTTTGCATCACACACACACACACACACACACACACACACACACACACACACACACACACACACACACACACACACACACACACACACGCACACACACACACACGCAGACAGAATGGAGTGAAAGGGTACAAAAATAATGAAATAGGGCATTTCTTTGCATCACACACACACACACACACACACACACACACACACACACACACACTTGCCGTGATTAATGCCACAAAATATTTTAACTTAGTTAACGTAGGTTTGTTTACTTCCGGGACAACTAAGCTAAGCTAGCTGCTAGGCTAAGCTAGCTGCTATGCTACTTCCATCTCAACATCTAACGTTACCCTGTGCGGGACACAGTTGACAGAGGACCCCCACTGTGTCCCTAAAAGACGGTGGTTTGAAAACGTCCTGGCTAAATGTGGGGAGATTGTTGGCATGTTAAATTATGGAGAGGTGAGACAGGAAGAGTCGCTAGTTCAACATGTTCCACCAGGTGGAATTCTGCCTCCAAGATGATCAAATGTGTGTAGTTTTGTGTTTAAAATAACAGACAATTAAACAACAGTGTCTAAAATACACACTTTCTAATGTGATTACTCATTACTTTCTTCTAGATTGTCTTTAGAAGAAAAACAAACATTAAAAACATCAATGTCACAACAACAACATTCATTGATCGCCATTAATCTCAATTAATGAATATCAAAATGTGTCATTCATTTTTTTTTAATCTATTGACAGCCTTAAAATACACGTGAAAGGTCAAATTATAGTATGCCATGTTAAAAAAAATGAAGTGCATATATGTATGAAAAGTGATAGAAAACAAATGTCATAGCCGTTTATATTTTTATGCCGTTTATCTTCCTTCTATATATTCCTGCTCCGAAGATGAAGACCTTTAAGTAGCCTTGACGCATGACTTGTGCGTATACAATGTCCAAAATAGTCATAGCGCACAAGTTAGGTCATAGCCAAATAAGTAAATAAAAATAAAAGGCCATTGTCAAGAAAAAAGTCTAATAAAAGGTGTATAGCATGGAAAAGAATAAGTCATCGTTTAGAATGTCATGAAGACGGTGGCGCATGGAGTAGAGAGGGTGCGCAAGGAACCGCAAGGTTTGAACCCTGGCTGCTACCATGTCGGAGTGTCCTTGAGCAAGACACATAAAGATGGCGGTATAGCAGACAACGCGTCAGCCCGCTGCGTATTATCTCACAAGACCACAGGTGTGGTTATTTGTCGGTGGTTGTGGAAGAGTACTAGAAGAGGAGCAGCCGGTTCTGGAGCTTCCGAGGAAGAAAAGGTCGCTCCCTCTGACTCAAGCGCGCCTGCATCACGCCTCAGTCCTCACTGACAATACCTCGTACATCACCCTGCATTGACTTTACATTCCTGGTGTCACCGGGTGCCACTTCACAACTGCGGCCATTTCTTGACTCCATTATCATAAATACTCTATGACAAGAGATTAAATTTACCATGATCTCTTGTGTCCTTTTCAGTGTTTATTATAGCCTTGGTCCTGCTTTCATGATGTAAAAACTGAATTACAGCTACAACTATGGCAAATATGTTTGTGTGGAAAGTATGGTGCAGCACGTCAGTGAGGAGAAGGCGTGTCCCTCACCCCTCGTCACACACCGCCGTCGCCTTGTCTCCAAACATCACTCCAGAATACTCGAACTGGCCGTTCAGGATCTCTCCTGCAGAGCCGCACAGCTTCCCTTATGGGCACGAAAGAAGTCACGTTAAAAACCCATTTTAGACCTTCAGTGGGATCACGTGAAGGCTCCAAACAAAAGGATCCCGTCGAGGCGCTTACGTTCACACTTGAGCAGCAGCGGGGTCCACTTTCCCGCCACACACGTGCGATACCTGCTGCCGCCCGCTTGCGCGTGTCCCACGCCGCACGCGTAGTGGACTCTGTCCCCGGAGGCGAAGGAGGCGGTTCCCAAGTAGCGGTCGGCGAGCTCGGCGTTGGAGTGGCGGCCGGTGACCGGAACGCCGCATCGCCCTGCTGCACGGACGGTTAAGTGTTCGGTGAGGATGAACGAACGGAGGCTTCAGCGGCTGCTTTTAATGAACCACAGCAACGTGGCGGGAAAACACCGACTCACCGCCTCCGTCGGGGGACCGTGTTTCATCGGGCAGGGGCAGGCACCGGGGGGCCGGGGGCCGCCACAGGCCATCGGGGCCACAGGTGATGCGCTGAGCGCCGTCCAGCTGGAAACCAGGAGCGCACGAGAAGGTCAGGTGGTCTCCCGCCCGGTGCACGGGAACCTCTCCGGTGCGGTTCGCGGAGTGGGCCACGGCAGGGGGGGAGCAGGTGGTCTCTCCCTCTGAGGAGATTAAAGTCATTTTTCTAAATAAATAAAAAAAGAATGGCAGAGTCTGATGATTCCAGCTGTGCGCGGAGGAAATGTATTAGATTAAAGCCCGGAGAAGAGATGACATCCATAAAAATGCCTTCACACGTCATATAATCTATATATGATTTATTGTCACAGCTTTATGGAAGACAGGTTTAACTTTATTAAGGGCAAATGTGAACAGTGTCTTTGCATCACTCCACGAATCTGTTTTTTTACAAATATAAGTTATGAAATATGAGCAAACCCTTCCGTAAAACCCTTTAGACTATACATAGGAATTAAACTAGGATGTTTTTTCTGGATAAGGCATCAGATATCAGTCTGTACTCATATAGATAGAAAAAAATCCTTATTTTGCAAATTTGTACGAACAGATATTGCCACAAAATTCATAATTAAAGCAATTATGGTGTGTGACAAGTTTCCAAGATATAGTCCTACATGCAATTGAGGCATTTTCTCACCTACACAAGTCGGGAATTCACCGGTCCAGCCCGACGTCTTGCACGTCATGTAGTTGAGTCCTTTCAACGTGTATCTGTCAACACGGAGAACAAGTCATCACAAACCGGGACGCTCGTTCGGGGAGTCGTGAAGACGCCGCCGGCGCGCGTCACCTCACCCCTCTCTGCATACGGCATAAACTCTCTCCCCCACGACCGTGTCCCCTTCATACTGGAACTCTCCGTGAGGAAGCTCCCCGGCGTTGCCACAGGAGATCTCTGTTGGAAGGGAAATTATAAAAAGGAAAGATCACACGACAGGAAAGCAGGATGAAACATTATGCTGCCAGGTGGAGCAAAATATGCCAATATTTGCCAGCTATCTCCTTTTATTAAAATGCATTTATACTTCTGTTCTCGATCTGTTTAAGCAAGTTGGCGCTTCATGGGGGATTATTCCCATTATACAACAGACTTGAAGACCGCCAAGGAAAAGTAAATGAAAGTCAGTGGTAGGATTTTTAAAACGTCGGTCCTTATTCAACAAACTTCTCCTTTGAACTAGAATAATCTTTTATATTAATAAATAATAATAATAATCATTTTAGACAAAACGACCTAGCTTGTTAGCCATTCAGGTCTTTTTTTATAAAATGTTTTATTGGTCGTTAAAATCCACAATAACCGTCGTTGTAAGTTCCCTCCACGGCCGCCAGGGGACGTCATCCCTCTGATAACTGTATTGGCTTTTCCTCCTTGAACTACTTACTGGCGCACTTCAGAGTGAGCTGGCTCCATCTGCCAGCGTCGCAGCGCACGGCTGTGCTCCCCGCGGAGGGAGCGGAGTCCTCCCGGCAGCCGTAGCGCACCTTCTCCCCGCTGGAGAACTTGCGCGTGCCGGTGTACTTCTTCAGGAGCCGCGTGTGAGGAAACTCCGGCGGGGCCGAGCAGTCCTCTGGGACTTGACCTAGGGCTTTTTTTGGGGGGGGGTTGTAAAAAAGTTAAAATAGAAATAATTAATGTGGAAAATGTGGGCTTTCATTTTTTTTGCTATCGTTTTTATTCCCTTTAAAATAATTTACCGGAAGCGAGTAAGGCGAACGATAAAAGCAGAAAAATCCTCGCGACGTCCCTCATGTCTTGTCCGTCAGGTGCGCTGAGTAATTGACTGAATAAATCCCACAACAAATGTCAATTTATAAGGGAGGGCGCATGCGCTGCCCCCCCTACCCAGCTGACTGACGTCACGTGGGCACACGTCATGTGAGATCATCCCAGTCGATAGTCAGAACCCTCCCAACAACAAAGGATTGGATTTGATCCTCAACAAACCGAACGAGCAGGTAAACCGCGGGGGGGTGAACTGGTTTTCTAACGTCAAGTCAGTACAACCAGTTGGACGCACATGGATGAACAAAAGTATTTTCGGGTGTCAACCACATTGCACTTTTACTAATAAAAGCCAAATAAACAAAATATTTATAAATGTTGTTTCTAAGTTATTAGTAGTTACTTCTGATATTTTGTAAAACCAATTTAGATCCGTGGAGACACTAAATGGAATGTGAAACACTTCTATGGCACAACTCAACTAAAAAAACGGAACAATTCGAACTTCCGATGTATTTTGAACTGTTATTGTATCTTTGCTTATTAGCTGCACACAGATTGAGACTCTTGAAAAAAGTCACAGTCGGCACCTGAACTCACAGGCGGATGCCCCGAAAAAGGGGGGAACAACAGAATAATAGTCACAGGCCAAATAACCACATACGCTGCTTCCATTTTTACGAGGCTAGACGAACATGTCATTATTTTTTACAGCCTGTGTCTGCCTACAAAGCTTTAAAAGCTTTGAATCACCTTTAAAATAAAGTTCCTCGCCAAATGTATTTTTATCTGTAATTGTGTTTTTGCTCATTAGCTGTAACGGATTGAGACTCTTGACGGGTTTTACAGTTTACAGCCTCTCCCTCTCTGCTCATTTACAATTTGTGTTTCCTGTTAAAGTCCCAACGGAGCTCTGCAGCTTTCTGAGTCACGATGCTGGAAACGAGGTAAACATCTCACAGCATCTCACAGAAACCGTAATATATGCATAAAGCGCAAACATAACGGAAACAGAATTATGAAAGAATCGTTTGTGGAAACTTGCTCGTGGAGGGATGGCTGCGTGTTTCAGCAGGTACACAATCCTGTCCTCTCATCACAGCCCTCTGACACATGGTGATGTTTTTCACTTCACACAATAATGATCCAGCGCTGCGGCCTGGAAATATTAAAACCAGACGTCAGCTGCTGAGCCAAACCTTCACGGCCTGACAGTTAGATTACAGGCTTCCTTTAGTACGCTTCTTTGCTCCCTCCGTCCTTTGTTTAATCACGCATTTGTTTTTTGTTTGTTTATTTAGTCTTTATTCATGCATTTTATCTCTTTGGTATGTGACCTTGCTGTCTTTAATCAGCGTGGACATTCTGTTCATCTGAATCCACACGTTCAAGGATCACTTCAGGCATCGAGCAGATTAAACTCTCTGAAATGCAGCTGATCGGACGGCTCATTTAAAGCTCGTTACATCATCCTCAGCGAGCAGAGCGAGGACAACACTTCTCGACCGGTCACGCTACACACAGGCTTGTTTGTTGTTGTTTGTGATCACGTATGACGGCGTTGGATCAATACGTTCATTTAAATCACAAGAGCATCGTTTCATCATTAAACACCGGACGAAGAAACGGGAGTTGCGTCGTTGTTTTGTTGCCTTTGTTGTCAGATAACTTTTTGTATTTGACCATAAACATATAATTCAGAAATCTACATTTGTATTGAGAAGTTGTATAAATTTGACACTGATGATTCCTCATGTTCTTTGAGCTCCGCTCAGCCCAATGGGGACGAGAGGTTATGACGCAAAGAGAAGTGCTGCTTCCAGTAGGGTCACACGCGCTCCTTCACCAAACCACGGGACCTTTTTGGAGTCAAAATAAACACAAGTACATGTAAACACTGCGTTAAAATTAGCTTTATTCAAGGAAACATTTACAGTGTGAAATGACTAATAAAGCTCTTTTTAAGACATTCAACCCTATTGTCACAGCCTTGTAGTCCTTTAAATAAAGGCACTTTTTCATGTGAATAGATGTTATCTAGTAATTCAAACACAGTATATTTGTTGCATCAGGAGAATACGACTGATTGATTTTAGCATCTAAGGTTTCAAATGCATTTAAATTCAGGAGCACTTTGTGTTGAAAATATTTGCATCAGTTTCATGGGAGTCAAATGTCATCAGCTTGACATTAACACAGGATAAATATAATAATATAATAAAGCGGTTATTTTCGGGTTCAAGACAAAACGAAGAGAAGAACAACAGGAGGGAACGAGGGGACAACAGATTAATTGTCACAGATCAAATAATCACTGAGCTGCTTCCGTTTTTTTCGAGGCTAGACGAAACATTTCATCATTCTTTTACAGCCCGTGTCTGCCTACTGAAAGCTTTATACGCTTCGAATCACACGTGAAAATAAAAACTACATCTTGTCGGACCACCGAGAAAGGTCGCACATCACCTGGGAATGTTGAACTTGGAGGATATGAGGGGAAAAGGCTGCGCGTGGCTCCGCTAAGATAGGCACTCTCGTCCATTGGTGTTTACGATCAACTTGTTCTGTGTCTAATGCAGAATAACATGTCTACGCTATGTGGAGTGTGCCAGGAACTAATGGACGGGTCTTCAGTTACATTTAAGTGCATGTATGCATGGGGGGGGGGGGGCATTTCACCACTGGCCTTCAGTGCTGGTGATACATTCATGTGGAGGGAAGCCTGGATGGACGACGATGCCGGGGGCTTTGAGGGGGAGCTCACAGATGTTCCACAAACACCTCCTTCCGCGGTTTCTTTAACTGCGAACGCGGTCGCCCGCGTCTGCGGCGCTGAAACCGTTGACAGAGTCCTGCTGGACGGAGACGGGGAGGGAGAGTGAGAGGAAAAGACACAGACGCAACGGAGCACTGAGGCGTTTGTTTTGACTGGCGGCCAATGAATTTCAGCTGAAATATATCTGAGCTCACCCGAGTTAGACCTGACCTTTCCGCCCTTTTTTAAGTCCCGACAGACACAGACAAAATCCAAATTTGTAATGTCAAACAGTTCTGGAATTTTTGGGATAACACATTTTAATATTCACAGCACCAAAACGCTAAAAAAATGACTTTCATTTGCTATTTCTATTTCTCCATTTTCTCCCTATTTAAAAGAACTTCTGAACCACATCCAGCAGCACTGACCTCGCTTTGCAGCATCTCGGACGCCTCGGAGAACTGCATGCTGGGTAAAGCAGGCGCCTGGGACAAGCGAGCATTTGGGGGGTTGCCCACGCTGTACAGGCGAGGTCTCTTGATCTGGTCCTGGCTGGACAACGGCGTGAAGCTGTTCCGCCGGATGAACGGCGGAGACGCGGCGTTCTGCTCAGTGGGGGGTGGTGGGGATGGTGGGGTGGGGGGGGGCAAACAGGGCGGGACGGTTAGCAGCTTTTATTTTGTGTGCGATGTGCCGGTTAAGCGTCTGCCACTGGAGGTCTGATGACACTGTGACCGTTGGAGAGCCAAGAACGCCTCCATGGGTACAAAGAGCTTTGTGCCATTTTGGTCCCAGTGTGTCGTTTTATTTCCCTTTTTTTATTCCCTTTTTATTACATCCCGCTGCACTGACCATGAGCTGCGACCCCCCTGGTTCGAGTCCAGCGAGGACCTCGGTTGCATCTCTCCCTCGTCTCTGTACTTTCTAAAACTTTTAAGGAAAAGCCTTGTTTGGTTCGTCCAGTCATAATGTAGTAATGTCTGCACGCGTGTTAAACGTGCGCTGCTGGACACTTTGCACGTCCCGGCGAGTCTTTGACAGAACTTAAACACCAGCTCACCAGCGGCTTGCTCCTGTGAGTGTTGACAGCATCGACCTTCAGGTCAAACAAGTCCACTTTACAACCTGGAAGAGGGAGGAGAAAAAGGTCACGACCCAACGGAGGAGTTGGACGTTTGGCCAAGTCAACGTCGGCGAAGTGACTCACCATAAGCAACCGGGGTGAGCTTGAGGACCTTGTGCAGGGGACACTTCAGGTAGGGGAGATCATCTGCGCCAACAACAGAGGAATCATGAGACTCTATTCCTGCGCGTGTGTGTTTTCCTCTCTGGAGCTGTATTGACACTGCAGTGCTACATGTTGCCACACGGGGGGGAGGGAGGGATGGAGGGGGGATGGGGGGGCGCCGGTCAGACTCGCCCTCGCACTGTTTGTTTTCTGCAGTCATCGGACCGCGCTGGACATTCAGCAGCCACTTCCTCTGCTGACGGACCAAACCCAGGCCTAATTATGGACCGGGCTGTGCAGCGTTTTCCATTCTACCCGCCTGGTTGTTATTCAGGTTTGGGGATTTGCTCACTCCGCTTAATATGAACGACCCAAACGCCTGTCTACTATCAAAGATTTGTAGTAGAAGTAGATTTACTTGATTCCTTTAAACAAAACTTGTCTGCCATTTGTTTTACCAAAGATCGATGTGATCTCAAAATATGCGCCTTTAAATTGTGGAAACAACAAATCAGGTATCTCCTTAATGAATATGAGGAGAATCCATCTTTTCCATTTTTATTTCTAGTGTAAATAGTGCGTGTATTTTTTAGTATTATTCTTTGTTGTTTTGTTGTAATCACATTTACATTTGCTTATGGATACTGTTTGTTCCGATTACATTTGACATATTTGGGACGTGCACGCTGAACACTACACCTGCATATTAACACCATCAGGCTTTCTGTCATTAAAACACTGGAACAGTCCTCATTTTATTCTGACTTTTGATGCTTTTACTATTTAAAATCCACATCCACAGTGCGTCATCAGGGACACACGGCAGCAGCCCTTTATTTGGGGTCGAGCCAAATGCCTTGAGCCACATGTCATCTGAACAATCGTGACTTCGGCAGCCTCTTGTGGTGACCTAAAAAAATACACTGTGTGAGGTGGAAACTTTTCATGACCTTTTCATAGTAACAACCCTGAGATCTAATAGAGTCTCGTGCAGTTCAGTTTCCCTCTATCTGACTCTGGCTACTCGCACCTTTGGAAATCCACACAGTTCGACAGATTTGAAGGTCACAAACACAACTACGTGCTGTCGTTTACTGTAAATACGCCGAGGCTCGGTCTCGTATCACGGGTCGGCTTCAGCATCTCACCTGCACTCTTGTCCAGGAAATAGGCGAGCAAACAGCGCATGACGGCCTGATGACAGATGACCAGCACGTTGCCCTGCCGCTCCAGCTCCATGATGACCGGCTCCAGCCGCTGAACCAGGTCCTGGTAGGACTACAGCAAAAAGAACACACCATCCATTCAGGTTTCATTCAGATCGATTTCAATTAAAAAAATAAAATAATCTGTATTAGTAATTGACCGACTGACTGGTCACTCAACCACAATATGATCAATGTTTTTTGTATTATTTATTTGTTTAATCACATCTAAAAAAAACTAAATATTTTCAGACGTAGGTCCTTAAAATAAAACTGTATTAAATGAGGCAGGTTGACCTGTATAAAGTTATTCTACCAGGCAAGCTGATACCATCCGTAAACGGTAACAAACCCTCATGTTCACGATAGATAAAGGGGCAGCGGATCTTCTACCTCTCCTCCCGGATAGCGGTAATGGTACTTGTCCTGGCTCCTCATGGCGTACTCCTCCGGGTACTTCTCCTCAATACCTTCATAGGACATTTCTTCGCACACTCCCTGAAAACCAAAAATAGGAAAATCAAACAACAGGCGCTCAATAAGAGATGCCAGACTCTCCAGTCGTCCAACGCAGGACGTACAGCGTCGATCTCATTCAGGATCTTCCACTGCTCGTAGGGAACTCCCAGCTCCTCTGCCGTCTGGATGGTGCGTCTCAGCTGGCTGGTCCAAACCTTCAGGTCCGACAGGTGGTGCTCCTGAACGAAAGCCTTCAGTGCCGCCGAGAACTGTCGAGAGGAAATGTGAGAGAGACGTTTCTGTTTGTCCCCGATCACCAAGCAGAAAATGTGTAGTTTTGTAGTAGCAGGATTTTATTCTCCTCATTTCAAAGTTTTTATCTGTTTCCTCACTTTGCTGATGTTATAACTGTCGGAAGCTTCTGTAGTTGCTCCGTTCTATTAAAAGACTAGCTTCACATGTTGATACAAACGCTTATTATCCTTTTGAGTTATTTGAGAAAATATCTGTCCATTAAATACAAAGCTGTTATCTTAGCTTAGCACAAAGACTGGAAACGGAGGGAAACAGCTAGCCGATCAAAGCTGCTTCACGTTGAAAAAAACCCCACACATGACACTGGTGTCACAATTAAGCAAGTGCACTTGCAAAAATGTCCAACCCGTCCTTCAGGACTAAGGGAGAATGGTTAGAGCACCTGTCTCCCTCGCTCCGACAGCTCAGAGTCCCCCCCGATGCGTCCCTCCACGTTGTACTGGCTCTCTCCGTGGCGACACAGGTAGATGGAGTGGGAGTGCACGTGGATGTTCATGAGGTAGTACACGATTTTACTTTGGATGTAGTCCTGCACCTTGTTGACCAAGAAACGACGGCCGACGTTGATGACCTGGATGAAGGAGCGGCTCCTGCGCGTCAGCGAGAAAAAGAGGAGGACAGGCGGCGGAGACACTTTACCGCGTGCTTCAGGTGTAGTCGAAAAATACCCGGACGTCTCGTCTGCGTCATCGACAATGACGAGGCGCCATCATTTCAATACACATATAGCGAGAATAAAAGCAACTAGAAGCTTTCTCACCTGTCGTGTTCATCCGGATCCAACGGTTTGTAGGTGACTTTATAGCATTCGATCCGCTTTAGAAAATCCTCCATGACACTTTCTCTGTCCCTCTCGGGGTAATCTGGACTGGACACCTTCACGTCCTTTGAGAGGGAGACATGTGTAGAGGTGATTCGCCACGACATCCAACCAGGATGCAACGGCGTTTGAAACTTCTAAAAAGCACCACAGCATCGTTTACCAGGATGTTTGTCGCGATGACGTCGGGATCGTCGCAGAGCGACTCAACAAAGAACACCTGACAACACGGAGCGAATCATTAGACAGGGACGTGAAGGTGACCTGACCCCGACTGATGAAGTCAGGAACGGAACGCTGACCTTGTATGAATTATCCTCAGCAAAATGAAGGATGAGCTCCCTCCTCTCTCTGGTGGTGTTGGTGGCGTCAAAAACCTGACAAGCAACAACAAGACACTCGAATCAAATCACATTTCACAACCAACACCTGCGGAGGCGCCGTGCAGCGTGCGGCGTCCTTACGGCGATCTGACCTCCCTCCTCATTCAGATAGGCCTTGACATCCTGCAGCGCCACCAGAGCACAGTGTCTGTGCACACACAAGCAAAGAGTTCAAAGAAGAATACGGGGGGGTTTAAATCTACGACACCAAATTGTCAACGTAAAGAGAAAGACTTTCTAACGCACTTTCTGATCAGCATCGCCTCTTTGTTGTCATGGCGGAAGAAGTCGTAGGACTTGTACGACTGCACGGCCTCTCGCCTGTAGACGCCGAGGTTAAACACTGCAGAGGGGACCAAGAAGGAGAGAGAGAGAGAGAGAGAGAGAGAAAGGCAGTTCAAACCGATTACTTGACGTGGAGGCGGAAGCTTCCATCTCGGCTGACAAACCGGTTCTCCTGCCTTCCACTCAGGGGAAAATATCCAATGACAGAGCCAGCTGACTGACTATCAACTAGGAGTGAAGAAAGCGTCGCCCTGAGCATACGATTTTGTCATATTTCTGCTGCGTAAAGACAGGAGAAGTCCAGCAGAAACAGGTTTCTTTTTGGCAACAGTTTGTAAAAGACTTTGAAAAAGAGAAAGCGGTTTGATATCTTAAGGCTCTGAATCAATTTATCACAGTGTTTTTATTGGTTGAATAGGCATCAAACGTTCCGACATGCATTAGAAACTAAAACATAAAACTGACCCTTAGTCGGCACTCCGATCCAGTTCAGGTAGCGCGTCAGCTTCTTGGACATGTAGGTTTTCCCTCTAGCAGGCAGACCAATCATCACTATCACAGTGGGAGAGTTGGTCATATAGGAGGCCCAGGCTGTAGTTGGCAAACACACACACACACACACACACACACACACACACACACACACACACATATTTCACTTACTGTGGCTATTTTATGACCTATATCAACATGACAAACTGTTCAACAATTGTCCTCAAATTTGCCTTGTGCTTGACCCTGAAACCCGTTTATAACAATAAGAGGGCCGGTCTGCATATAATATACACACACACACACACACACACACACACACGTGTCCTCTACGCACTGACGGCAAGGAGAGGGAAGGTTGTGAAATGTGAAATGTCACCCTCTCCGTGTTCACCTGCCCGCTCAGTTTAACATTTCCGTCATTCCATCGTCGCCTCCCGGCTGCTGGTTAATGTTTCCCTGAAAGTCCGGCTGCTTAGTGACCCACTTTACTGATCCAGTGGAACCTTCCTGACTGGAATATGAAATGGAAAGTACTTCTGACTTTCTCTTCTCTGTTAACTTTCACACACATTCCCGCCAGAACAAATCTACCAAAAGATTGTGGCAAGATGAGACATGCCTCTAGATGTAAGAAACAGACGTGCGGGCCAAGCGGGATAGTTTCTGCACTCAACATTATTATGTATAAAAAGAGGCCAAGCTCGGTGACATTGTTACCAGCTAGTCTGAAGTTCGTCTTTGGTCATATAGTATTCTTCACAAGCATGTAATGCAGTACTTTACGAATACGCCCACACGCTGTATACACAGTAATAATGACAAAAAGGTGCGTCAAAGTTGACATTTAACAATCAGTGGCTGCTGACACCGTATCACCTCTCCCCTAACAGAGCAGGACGTGTCAGTAAAAGGTCACCGCTTGCAGCCCGCTGAAACCACACTGGATAATGTAATAGTCAGTTTATAGGTGCACAGATTGGTAATAAGACGCCGATCAGGTGGAAACCACTCACAGCACTTCTTCCCGGTGGCTCTGACCTCCGTCCTTTTGGCCTCCGCTGAGCCGTCTGCAGCGGCTCTCTGCTGCCGGCCGGCCATCGTCGCTCTGACCTCCGTTAGGACGAGGTCGGCATCTCTCTGTCGAGGACGGGAATTCGTCATTACGAGGCGAGGAGGGCCGACGGTAAACGGCAAAGGGCGGCTGACGAGAGTCAGGTGATAATACCGTGGTAGAGAACGGACGAACCAGCACCTCCACCGCTGGTCTATTATTACATTAGTTTATTTATAGGTCTATAAACGAGAACATAAGCCACCTCCAATTTCCAGACTGTTATGTATTAAAGAATTTGCTGGTGACACTCTCTCTGAGACCAATTTCACAATGTTTTGAAAAGCTATTTGATCCCAACAATGTCAGATTATAAGGGGGGGGGATCATAATGCCCCAAAAGCCCAAGCTTATATATTCAAATGTTCCGTTCAACATCTCAGATGAGGGATGTGGAAGGTGAAGTGACTTATTGACATTATTTGACAATCGTTAACGTGTGAATCTGAGAAGTGTTGTTTGGCTTTGGTGTATTATTGAGTTGGATGATGCCCTTCACACTGTCAGAAGGGTGAATTGGTAACAAGGTAACGCTGGATAACGTCACACAAGCTATACTTTAGTGACGTCACGTCCAGTGGAGCGGTTTCCACTGTACCTGTAACTGTAAATCACCTCTGCTCTCACATACTGAAGTGCAGGTTAAAAATACCAAACGTAAAAATAAACAGCGTTGCAGAAAAAGGGGGACGGAATAATCTAAATGTTTAAACTCACCACAAATGTACCGCCGAGTAATAATTGCGTGTTCTTCTTCTTCGATACGACGCTGTCAGTCGGCCTCCACCGTCGCTGGACTTCTTCTTCTTGTCGGATGTTTCAAGCTCCTCCTCCGCGCAGATACCGGAAAATCAGATGACATCCGCGCGGTCACCAACGCAGCTTCCGGTTGTTGTTTTTTTCAAAATAAAATGTGCAAAAGACAGCGCTCTTGGAATACTATGGGCATTTGGAATGAGACAAATATTTTGAGCATTTTAAATACGCATGTAGTCTATAGACAAATATCACCAACACGGGCAAAAACGTAATTTTCAATCGTCATGTAATTAGGAATCGTGGCGAAGTGGCACCATTCAAAAAACCTTTCATAAAACTGTTATAATTACATCACTATTATTGGATTATTTCCAATGGCTTCAAACGGTATCCTTTCTTTAGAGGAGGGCGTAACAAAAAACATCAAAAAGTTTAACCATTACTAATTATTGCTGATGATCTGTTTTAAATTGGCCGATGACACATAACATAACGGAACAGCATCCCAAGCTCCACCTGGACTATATGTGTGATAGTGTCCTTGTACATGCCGTCATTCCTTTGTTGGAGTTTTGTTTTTACGTTGCTCTCAGATCCTCCACCTGTAAGATCTCACTTAATTGAAATGAAGATATCTAGACTAACATCCCGAAACTAAAAGTATATTTTGGACAGCCTCATACCTGAATGACTACATACGAAGGTGGACCAAATGAAAGTGTTTCACTGCCCCTTGTTTTATTTTAAGTTTTAAAACAATGACAACTGAGCACGGCTTTGATATTGTAAAAAGAGGTTTTCTGGACACAATTGTTGCGCTCCAGATCCAAGAACAACAATATATAGAATTGAGGTAATTTGTTTCAACATATGTACCTGGAAAAACATACATGCATTCCAAAAATGAAGTGGCATTCTTATTTAATTGTACAGGTGATTTCAGACAGAAAATGTGTCACGTGGATCGTTGCAATCACAATTCTTTATTCTCTTAAAAGAAACTAGCCTCAGTGTCTAACTAGTACACCGTAACATTAAACAACCCTTTGCCTGTAAGGCATGTGCTTGTTTTGTAAAAGAAAGTGTTTCAGGATAAGATCATCTGGATCTACTTTTTTTGCTCATCTCCCTCACTGGATCTCTGAGAGGACAGAGAGACAGAGACAGAGTCACGCGGTTGCTGAAGAATGGGCTGATTAATTATAACTTTGAAGCAAACATGATTTACCCATAAGATATCTCTGCACAAATTCTATAAATCACTAAACCAGAGAATTTTGCCTCGTCCACACGGCTGAGTAGCACATCCACATAATCCGCCTCGAGAGTTGCAACCCCTGGTCGTCGTTAGTCCATTGTGTAGCCCTTTGGAACTCAGGAAGTACAGGTAAACAGACTGTCTGGAGATCCCTGAACAGGTCTTTCTCTCCTAAAGTCCAGTATGTGGGAAAATAAAGGGATCCAGCTAGAAAATGATATGAAAAGGAGAAGACTATCCACCATTTGTGAGCCAGTTATAACCTCCTACGTACAGTACGTACCCTGAATGCCTTACACAGAGAGAAGATACGATTAAAGGAGTGCAGAGAATTCATTGGCAATGATCTTTGTATATTTCTAAGAAGGCCATGCGTTTAGAGAGCATACAGCAACAGCGCAATGTCCCACCTAATGCTGATGATATATTCATGTGTAATATTAACTCAGCAGCTAATATTACCATTTATGAATGAGTGCTTTAAAGAATAAAAACAGCAAGAATGATGACCAGGACATGTAGCAAAGGGATGTTTAATGGTTTCTTTGGACAATGAAATGCACATGTCCATTGTTGATGTAATACAAAGAAGAGAATAAGAAAATCAACAACTTGATGTTGTGTCAGCATTCCCAGTTCAACATCATGTCTTGTGTGATTCAAAATGGAGCGGGATAAGATGTCTGGAGTGTCACGCAAGGAATGACCAGTAGGGGGAGAGCCAGCTCTTAAATAAAAAATAAAATCAACAACTAGTGAGTCACAACCTACACTTGTGCACGAGTACGCGATGACCGGTTCCACTCATGAGCCCTTTGGCACTCGTCCCAATTTGAGAAAACACACAAGTTATTCCGGTCCTTTGCTCAAAAAGTCATGAGTTGAGACGCAGGCCGGGCGTAGCGCATGAGGAGTGAGCTGATGCAGACTAACTTGGCCGAGAACGTACACAACAGACAGGCAGAGTCATAAGCAGCCAATTATTGTTAAAACATTGATCGCTTTAAATAGCTTTATCAAGTGACACTGAAATGTTGATCATTGCCGTCTTGGCACAGTAACAAGCCCCTCGCAGCACCATTACTTAGAATAATTACAGAAAGCGAGACATGTTTAGGTGTCGAATGACATTCAAATTTAAATAATAATAATAATAATAATTAAAAAAAAGGTACCACAGTTCATTCTCAACAAATAGGGGTTTGGAGCTCAAGCTGCTGGAAGGGCAGCGAAGGAGGATGCAGATTTTAGCAGTGGCACTAGTACGACACTGCATCAAGCAGTAGAGCATCAGGACGTCTGGATTTAGAATATGGGTCAATGGCTCCGCAGCGTTCGGCCCGTTAATCTGTGGTTACACAATAAATAGTGGTTTTTACTGTTGAGTTTGTGTTCAGCCTGAGATTTAAATCCTTTCAAGGGCATTCAGTCAATAAAAGAAAATAAACATTCATCCTTCATCGTGCTCAGAGAGTCTTTTTTGGAAACGTTGAATTCAACAATTTAAGACTGGGTACCTGCTGCTCTGCTCTATTATTGCTAAGCTTTTCCATTTCCTTTCCTGTGGCGCGTCGGTCACGTGGTATGGTTGATTGGGAATGCCATTCCAAGTGGTGGACGTCGTGGTCCCCTGCATCACTCGGTGATGCGGTGAAAGTCAGAATGATCAGGCAAACAAAGGCGAGCAAAACTTGATCGGAGGGGAACGGAAAGTGCAGTGATCAAGTCGACGCGAGCTGTAAATGCATACAACTTCATACATTCCTCTGGAGCTCACTGGCGGGGAAGTCCATCCTCGCATCCCTTCACGAAAACAAGACTGTAAGACTTTAAACAATAGGCAGTCACAGACACAGACTGTAGTGTGCCTCTGTGAAAGGGGGAGGAAGAGAAAGAGGGAGTGAATGATTGCATCGAGTGCGAATATATCATGACAGTACATGTACTTGATCTATAAAAAACTACCTTGGTACTGAACACTGACCTCTTTCTAACAAATAATCTGGTATACAACATTTACAAAATGAACATCGCAATAGTGTGATATTTATAATATATATGCTACTGCCTTCCTCTGGTTCTCTGCATCTCAAACCTGCGAGTACGTCAACACCATCTTAAAGTTTGTACACAGCAAAGAGTACGCACCACACCCAACGAGCGGCAGCCAAATACAAATAGAGAACAGGAAGACTCTGTGGACAGCGAGTGCACCTGCATGTGTGTCCTGAGTGTGTGTGTGTGTGTGCGTGTGCATGTGCATGTGTGTGCGCGCGGTGGGGGGGCAGCTCAGCTCGTGAACCAGGCAGCCACAACTTGCCGGTGGACTCAGCGGTGAAGGGGGGAGTTTTTGAGAGTAAACTTCTGGGATACCAAGATTCTTCAGCCCACAAGGTACAGAAAGTCCTTATCCAAGAGACCTGCACGTTTAAGACAGTCCTGATATACTTTAGGAGATAATAATTATTATAATAACAATAGTATTAAACAAATGTCAGGGATATTACTGTCCAATGGCAGCCGTGGTCGTCTGCATTATTCGATCCCCACGTTTCTCCCGTCATCAGCTGTCCGGCTGCGAGGGATCGGCTTCTGTTTCGCACATTTGCGTGTAAGTCTCGTATCGGAGTGCGCGTGTGTGTGTTTGTGTCAATGAATGCCTGAAGGGAGTCCAGATTCTTTTGTTTCTTTCCCCTCGAGGATCAACGCCGGCCCCGCTCTCATCAGAGGCGGGTCTGCGCCTCGGGGACGTAGATCTCGACGCTGTCGGCGCTTTCCGTGGCGGAGTTCTGCCGCACCGACGCCGCGCGCTTCGCCGCAATCAAGCGTTTCCTGGCCTCTTGCCGCTGTTTGTCCACAGCAGAGTCCACGCTCCTGTCCTTCCCCGCCGACAGCTTGGGCTTCGTCTGCTTCTTTGGCACAGATGATGGAAGCTGCTTGTTTTCATCCTGAGAAAAAGGAACGCAGTTCAGTTGAAAACAAAAATCTCCATTTTTCTCAATTGACTTTTTTCAAAGATCATTCACAGACAACGTTAAAGCTTCAAATGGCCATAAATGACACTTAGTTTTGTCGGAATTAGACGGAAATACTTATTTTGCCTTGATTTACACATAATCAATTAATAATAATAACTAATAAAGAGACCCATATGCTCCTGTGAGGCCCCAAACGTCACCTTCTCTGACTTCTCAGGCAGCTGCCAGTTGTTGGCCTTCAGTTGGAACAGCTCATCAAACTTCATGCTGATGTCTTCTATTGAGAGTTGTAGCAGATCCCAGAAGCCTGCCAGGTCCTGCGCTGTTGGTCGTGGGTTGGCGTTTAGGTTCTGGTGAGAGGACAATGAGACAGTGTGGAGAAGTTAGAGATGAATGACTTCAGTCACACCAGAGAATGAATCACATTCCTCCCACACACACACACACATCTCTTGATGAAGAGAAACACATTTGACGCCAACGTCAACTTTCAGAGACGATTCATTTTTAGCACTAGTGGACCTGTGGCGGAGAAAATCTGGTGCGGAGGGACAAGCGAGACAAGAGATCCAAAATCGATCTCAGAAAAAATGATAAATTCAGAATTTTCGGTTTTCTTAAAAAAAAAAAAAAGGATTATTCTCTCTCGAAATGTAATTGGAAGACTAATGTTGCTGGACAGCGAAAGCTGAAGAAAACCGGGTCAGTAGACAAAGAGAAACATGCAGAAAAAAAGCCACTCACCAAGTTCTCCTTGCAGAGCCCTCGGAACTGCTCAAACTTCTTCGTCATGAGGAGCTGAGCGCTGCCCACTGCACTGCGGATTGTTCCCAGCACTACAAAAGAGAAGTTGATGATAAATTATCAACAAGTTCGAGCCCCAAAAAAACAAAAACAGATGTGTAATGCGACAGAAAGGACGCAGAGAGGCAGCTGCAGCTGAGAGACACAGTCGCTAAAAGCTTAGCGGCATCTAGGAGGTAACAGGGAGCGAACCATGTGGTTTATTGCTGTCGTTTTGCATTGAAATATCTCTACATTTACCAATTAACTTTCTGTGACTGTAATCGTCTTAGGGGACGCAATCTTAGGGAGGATAACAAATTAGACTTTGTTCAGCAGTTCTCCGCTTTAAGATTTGCATGCAAATGGCAATTCGTAATTCCGGTCCACAGAGAGCAGAGTGGATGATGATCTGATGGAGCCTCGACATTTACTGTGCTCCTCGCTCATTTATATTTAAGACACTGCAGGGACGAATCTGCCCAACAGCCTCAGTGGGTATTCTGGGAGATTAAAAAGAGAAATGACTCCGTAGTTTCTCTGTAAACTACTCTACTCTCCTTCCAATGAGCAGATTTATTCACACTAGCAGCCACAGCAGCTAGCACGCTAACAAGCTAATCGCTGGCAATACAGTGAAACCGCCAGAATCTTACAACGATATAAATTCTTAGCGACGGCATCACTTACCCTCCTCTGACAGCTTGTTGTCTTTGGTCTCCTGCTCCATCTGTTGACACCAGCCCTCCATGCGCCCGGTTTCCGCCTGCAGCAGCTTCATGAACCAGTTACCGTCTCGGAGGCAAGCCGGCGGGCCGGGCTGACCGGCGTCCCCGTGGGAGCAGCAGTTCCCGCTCTCCAGGCTGGGATCTGGCGGCGGCAGCGAGGACGGGTCTAAAGCCGGGTCCAGGGTCACCTGGGGCGGGCTGGATATCCTGGACGGGGCGTGGGTGTGTTTGAGGGGCTGCTGCTCCATGGCTTTGTCCTGTCCGTTGGGGGCGTTGGCATCCGCGGTTTGACTGTTGGTGCAGTTGGCGGTGTTGTTTTCTGTGGCGTCCTGCGGCTCGGTCTCCGTGTTCTGTCTGGAGGCCATGCTGGTTTCCCGGCTGAGACTGTGGAGACGTGAACAAACATCAGCTTCTGACAAGACGCTCAAATCAACGCGACGATGGAGCCGCGTGCCAAACACGCTACGCAGAAGCAGTTTGGGGTGAGTCGAAAGGGACAAAAGGTCAGCCGAAAATACACTCCATCAAGGACGGTAAGAAGGAGGAAATGCGCAACAACTCCGGAATACAACATAAACCCTTAGCGGGCCGCTGCTTCAGAGATAATGAGCAGGAGGAAAGGAAGCAGGTCGTCCAAACAGCATCATTAGGGGGGAGTTACTGTGCACTGGAGACGTTTAGATGCTGCGTTTTCAGCTCACTAGTCAAAACAAGAGCAAAGGGACATCATTTAGAGGCCTGCGCTTCCTGCTGCTCGACCCGACAGCAGATTCACCAACCACGCGGGCCAAAGAAAGAAAGGCCACGTGAGCGTGTGCCGTCAAGCCGGTGAGGAGCTACTGTCCATTCAGAGGGACAGGAGGTCGAGGGCGGAGCCATAAGTATCTAATTATTGTGCGTCATTGAGGTTCCGACGGGCCATTGCAATCATGCATCATTCACGTTTCCTCCCTCATACTCTTCTTTCAACACCTTTGCAAGAGCATTGGTATGTTTACTGGCGCAATACCGCCACCAGCTGTTGATCTCGAGAACAGCGTGTAACCGGCAGCAGAAAAAAAACCTTTTTAAAGACACGGCTTCATGGCGCTGGCGGGCTGAAATGGAATGAAACAGCAGCAGAGCGGTTTAGCGGGCACATCATATGGCCGCCAACTTTTCTATGTACAAGAGTAGTAGGTCTATAAGACCTATTACTTGCCTTCAGTTAGGATGCTCCGTCCATGACCAATTAGCTTAGCACCAACGTGGCAATATGTGCAGAAAATGTGACTTGAGTAAATGAGGAATAGAGAATGAAGAGTTTAAGACGACGCAGCCAATTATTTCTCAATGCTCTTTTATATGATGATTCCATTAAGAGCCGGATTAGCACAGGCTAATTTACTCAACTAATATAGAATATTTCCCCGTTAGACATGTGAACCATCACATCATTCACTGCTCACATGCAGCGTGTGTGTGTGTGTGTGTGTGTTTACTTACGGCCTGCCGTTCTCCACCTGAACGCCAATGGACTGAAACTTCAGAGGTGCAGTCAGCGGTAGCGGTTCCTCTCTTAGGACGGGCAGAAGGCAATCCACCTGGACAAACCGCAATCAGAAAAACAGTCTTGAGTTTTGGTCTCCTTCAGGAATAATTGTATATAAATACAAAATAAAAACGTACAAAATTCTTACCTGAATACCGATCGAAGACAGTTTCCTCTTGGTTGCAACGGGGACCGGATCTAGCGTGAAACCAATGCTCGGGGTGTCATTTTGGGACTGGGTAGAAGTGGAAGTGGTGGTCGTGGCGACAGTGGCGGTGGCGGCGGTGTGAGGGAGGTCCCGAGGGGCAGGAACAGGATGGACAGAGCCGGCAGCTGGCCCAGGGGCTGCGGCAGGGACCGGCACCGGTAGAGGTCGGCTCCCTTTAGCCAGACCGGCCGTGCGGATGCTACAGAGGCTGTCCGAGGAGTTGCTGCGTCCTGATTGGCTGTTGGCCTCACTGCCACGCTCCTGCTGGTCGATGTACACGTCTTGGGCCGACTCGGTGCTGCTCTGCACCGTCACGGAGATGAGGGGCTTGGAAGTGGTGCGGGGCGGGACCGGGGGAGGAGCCTTCCTATTGCTGACTGGGGGGAGATGGTGAACAGGATGAGAAACCCGCACACATCAGAGAGAAAGCACAAAACCATAAACACGGCCTATCTGCAAAAACAAACCTGCACTTTGACCTGATTGGTGCCTCTATCAGAGTGGACTTAAATCTACCTGGGCGTTTCCTGTCAACCTGCTGGTTGTGTTCCATTGAGGTCAGACGGTCTCCGGGGAGCTTCCTTTGCATAACACACCTTCACAGTGCTTTTGCTTGGGGGACTGATCGCCCAGACAACTCCTCTGCCTCCTCTGTTCAAATCCCTTTTAGACCAAACTGCTGAATGAACTGCAAAACTTTCAGGATTGTACATCTGAAGAACGGCGATCGGGCGATTTTCATTTTCGGTTGTGTGTTTCGGTGGACGCAGAGCAGCAGGCATATTCAAATATTTCAAAACATCACATCCACAGTTCAATTAAATAAGTGCGCTTCCTGTTTATAGTCGTAGTCTCTCCAGAGGAGGCGGTGGAACCAGCGTCGGATTCAAAACTACTTCAAAACCTTTTCATTTCCCGTTAGAAGACTTGGTCCATAATTCACAGCCGTGCTGCTGATGTAGAATGAGGAAAAACAAAAACAAAAACAAGCGCAATGAATCGACAGACGAAATGAGGTTGACCACGGGGCTTCTCGGCTGATAATTACAATCATCGATTCGCAGGGAGCAGCTCTAAGTGGATGTTATGAATCGATAAAAAAAAAGCAGACTTAGAGGTGCAAATGGAGGTTGAAAACTCCACATTGCCTGTTCCAAAGAACCTGATCTGCTGAGTGCCGAACCATCTATTTCACCTTTGGAACGGAAGCCCGACGAAACCATTAAGCGTTTTATTCCTCTTCCTCGCTCGGTTCACTGGCTTTCCAAGGCCACTCTGTCGCTCATTCGCTTCTACTCTCACCTCGTTGTTCGTGTAGACTCTCTGCGTGTGCTTGTTGACTAGAGAAATCCATTTGGAACATAAACCCAGGACCAAATAAATGCTCAATTTAAAACCCACCAATTTATTTCTACAGAAACTGAAATGAGGCCAAAGACAATCTGAGTCAGGGACAAGGAAAAGAACCGCTGGCTGCTTCTGTCATCAGTCCAACTGCAGGGTGGTGCTGGATGTTGCAGCGTTGTACAGTACTCCGTGCCAAAAATTGAAGAGGTGTTGAGGCGGTTGAGTGGATACTATTTAAAAAGCTGCCCGGTTGGGTTTCTATCCAATTAAACCTTTAGCTTTCTCACACACACGATGTAGAAAGTAACGTCGGGCTCACCGGTTTGGATTAATAGCAAAGATTTAGTGTTTATTCCCGACGGTGGCGGTTTCAGTGTAACTTGCGGGCCAACACCCTGTAGTTGTGAGGGGGCTGCACTTCCATCAGCAACCAGTGACTCACAGCACCAGTAAGGCCCTCATTAAATCCCACCAAAGCACACAAACGTCGGCGAGGAACCCTCCGTGTGCGGTTCAGGAGTCGCTAGCAGCCCTGACCTCGTTTCAGATAACATACCAAACCAACAATAGAGCATTTATTCCCTAAGAATGAGACACTTCTTGCAGTACTCATAGCAGAGATGCATGACATTCCTAAAGTTGATTATCGTGACCAGCGACACACGCCTCTGTCCCAGTGACTGTGAGGCTGCATTACGCCTCCTACACACACACACACACACACACACACACACACACACACACATTTACGTAATGATAGATCCGTTTGATATCAAACATCCACACCTTACATTTTCACTCATCTCCACAAAAGCATGATTTATGATAATGACAGAAAACAGACTGAATGCCGTTTACAAACATCCAGCGCAGTGCAGATGATTCACATCCGGGGCAAAAGGTGGGCTCCATTTGGCTGCCCTAGTGCGACGTGTAATAGGATTCCTGGCTCAATATCTGGGCTCGGTACCAAGAAGTGATTGAGGGACGGACAGGGTCGACTGTGTTGACAACAGATGTTGTTCTGATACTTTTACCCGTCACATGAACGAAGCACTGCACTATTTTATTTGCGCTGAATAAATCAAAGTCAACATTGTTTTTTATTGTGGTGGACAACTGATCAATTACAGCTTCCTCTGGCTGTAGAAGGAAACGTGCCAGCTGAGATAAAAAATCCCCTTGCTTTACAACTTGAAGCAGGTGACAGTGAATCACGCTTATGTAATACTTCCTTTCGCTTTGAAAACAATTAGGATCAACCAGCACCCTGTCAACACTGCTGTGATCATTAAATGCAGACAGCCTCACTTGTGAAAGCAGCGCGGCGTCTCGCTCAGTGCGTGTACGGCTCCGTCAGCAGGTCCGTCTGCGAGCTATCAGATGACCACTAATGGGCTCTCCGTGGCAGGCCAACATTTGAGTGGAGGTGGTTGAGTATTCAACGCTGTTGTTCCTGGTCTCGATTACCGCTCAAGTCTTCTCGACTTATTCGTGAGCGGAGACGGCGCAGTTGAAGCTTAGCTTCCGATGGAGCGCCAGGCTCAAACGCACAAAAAGGCAATTTCCAAACACATCCCTGCTAATAATATTGTGGCTTATTGTGGATTAACCTGTCGTAAACTCTGGGTATGAGCCAAGTATGATGAAAAGAAGCTCTGTACAAGATCAGCCGTCTTACTGATCCTGTGGCAGACTGAAAGATTAAACCAGGACACATGGCTGAGCATGACTTCTGATAAACACATTGAGCACACAAGTTCCACTATTCCGCTAAATACTGTGAATAAAAAAACAACAGAAAGATAGATTCCATGTGATAAATAGATCTATCTTGGCCTCAGCCCAAGAATCGCGTTAGCTTAGAAAACTATAACTGTGCCTCATGAATGGGCAAACTGCTGAAATTACAAATACACGCAAAGTACATTCTGCAAGTAACAACTTTGACAGCGTAACAAATCACTGTTAGCCTTACGAAGGAGAATTCCTCAAATAAAGCCAGTTAGTCACAGTCAAGATGCTTCTTGGCTTCTTATTCAAATGAGTCATCGTGAAAATCTAAATGACTTTATAGCATTTAGTTCTGAATCCACTAAAACTTTTCGTAACACATTTTTAAACAACGTTTTTAAGAACCACATATTAAATCTGTGCCACTTTCCACAATAGCTTTAGGCAGCAAATCAGTGGCCTAAGATGACAAACTTCACGACAGATGATGCGATCTGTTGAGACAGACAGACAGACAGGATGCCATTTAGCAGACAATGCAGACGTTCAGAGGGGGGGAAAAAACGCTGACACAACACGACGCGAGGGAGCTACAATACCACATAGCAAAAATAGGATCCGAAAACAAATGCATGCAATTTCATATAAAGTTATACCGTTTTACCTTCCACTGTGGCTGGTACTAAATGCAATATGTCTATAAATGGAAAAGAACACCTCGGCTTGAGAACAACCACTAAAGTCAAAACCCAAACGTTACTACTGGAGAGTTGGGTAGTGCATTCTCATCTGATGTATGGGCCGATATCTTTATCCTCCTTTAAGTCTTAGTCTGATTTGCCGAAGTCTTGGTTACAGCCTGATCAGCTGAGGAAAGGACACGTGGCGAGTGCCTCCGAGGTCAAACTACTCAGAGCGACAACCTGGGGGCTTTCTCGGGGTAGAGCAGTGTGCCTGAGCAACTGTTATTTCATTTTGCGATAATGCTCAAAAAAAAGATCACAAATGTTTAATAGAAAGAGTGTATTCTTAACCAAGTGACATGGTACTTGCACAAATAACATAAGTTCAGCAAGAGGCCGAAATGATGCTTTAAAACTGAATCCTAACACTGTGCATATGAAGCAATCGTGTTAAAAATCATCAGATAAAACAACTAATTGTGAGTATTTATCAACAGCTAATAAACTCAATATATTACTTCAGCTGTATTGTTCTCAGTGGCTGCCAAAGTCATTACAGGTGAGAAATACATGTTGGATAAATCCGCCCTGTAATCAGTGCAGGTGATTGGTGCAGGAAACGGGAGGCCTGGGTGACACGGTAACCACGTTGATTGAGAGCTCAACACAGATAATCAGGAAGCACTGTGCTGATGATCCTACTGTGGAGCTCCAGTTGCTTCGCCCATTCAGTCAAGAGATGACCTCATCGATGAGTGTGTAACACTGTGGAGGATGACTCACAGTCTATCCATGTTACACAGACACACAATGAACACACCTGGTTGCCACAAGGAAACATCAAAGCCAGCGTTTCTGATGATACCCAGCGGCCTGTCAGAAGAAAGTCAAGCTTTGACAGACGATAATGACGAGACTAGTTAAAGTAAACACCCATTTCCCAACAGGATGAACTGCTTCCTTAAAACCAATAGTCAGTCAGCATGGACAAGAGACAACGTACGTTGATGTTATTATGAGTGATCAAAAATACTATTGTGTGCACATCCTTCTATTGTCAGGTAGTCCTAACAAAAGCCCATTGAAGTGTTCCAACTGCAAAGCTGTACACAAAGCCGGAAGCTCATACATTATTGATTGTGTCCTCAGGTCTTAACACATGGAGGATAGCTAGTGAATAAAAATGGCTCATAGCTGTGGACCAAAAATACCCATTGCAGTACCGGCAGTTGAGACTAATAGGATTTAAACGGTAGGTTTCTAGACAATAAAACGTCTATGCACGTCTAAGTCTTTCAAACTGAAATTACAAAACACAGTGGAGTCAACTCGATGGTATCTTCTATTTAAATCAGGAGATAAAACCCAATAGAGAGAAGTCCATTGTGACTGATACATTAAGCTAAACGCGATGCATTGATCCTCGATGCCTCTGAGCTCAGACCACGGTCACATGTTGAGCCCGCGGCAAGAGACACGTTTCGTTTAACGTCCTTTGACAGCTGATCTAAATCTAAAATACCCACTTTAAAGTGAACTAAACGCTCCATCCGTCCGAGTCACGCGCCGTGATTTCTTAAGGTGCAGAATGGATTTCGTTTTCTTATTAAAATCTGTCACAGGTGCCATTACATTACAATTATTTGAACATCTCCATCTTGCTACGGTATTATCGCTCCTATTACACACAGTATTAACCGACGTCAGCCACCCCCTATAACAAACGTGGGGGGGTTCGGTTAGCCTAAGTAGCCGGCCGGGTTCCGAGCGGTCCACACGCCTCAGCTACTGCTAGCTTGTGCTACTAGCCCGTTAACGCTCATTACGGGGGGAGATAGCACGGGGCATTTAACGTTGAGCAGCGTTAGCCGGAGGCGTCATATAGCGGCGATGGGAAAAAAAGAGAGCCAACAAAGAGGACCCGCCACGGGGCGTTTTTTGCCTCGTTACCACCAACCTAACAACAGCGACCACATTAATGTCTGCCTGCTTGCTAACGACTCGCATTCGGGCTTTCATCCTCTTTCTTTATCCATGTTAGCTAGCTAACCTGCCACACCATCAGCGTTAGCTCGCGCTAGCTTGCCGTGGCTAGCGTACCGACAACAATTAAGATGTAAAACCAGTCAGTGGGGAAAATCGTCAATATCTTACTGTATGGCGGTAGACTCGTATTATCCTTTATTTCTGGTCATTCATGAAATGCAGACGCGATGAGGACGGGCTACGGGATCCTGCCGTAAGACACACAACGGCGCTGTGAAGAAAAGATTTGAAGTACACGCCCTTGACGACGAGGATTGGAGTCCACGTTTCCTCTGTAACTGTCCTCGGCCAGCCATTGGTCAATTCTGCTCCTCGATGTAATCGGAGATGGACGTGATTGGTTGAAGTCTCTGCGTGACGTCAATTTCGACTGTCCTCACGATAGGTGCGTTTCATTTTGGTCCCTGGCGCCGCGGGAAAGTTCTCTATAGCCTTGACGTAAAGCTCATACATATTCGATCCGCTGTGACCGCCCGACTGCTAAACAATGGGGCTCTATGTAAATTGAGGCGATTTCTCTTTGTCCCCCTTTTTGTAAAGGCGAGCACAATTAAAACCAGTCTATGATCGAAACGGTTCTTTCTGACGATCAAGACATAAACAAAAAGCTTCCGTGTCATACAAAATCAGATAAGACCATTACCCATAATATACAAGTACTCAAATAGTTCATATTACCAAACATTTTAACCATTGTTTTGCAAAGAACCAGTACACATGGCCAACATAACTAAAAAGCAAAGAACAAAAAAGAACATAACATAAAAGGCATAAATCCAATGTAATAAGCTTTTGGGATGCATTTAGACATGTGAAGCGTTATTATATTGCACTGGGATGAGTTGTTATTTCTAATATACAGTAGGTACCCCAAACAGAGTATCCATGCTATTTGTTTTTATGGTTGTATTGGTCATCTTTAATATGATTATGATGACACTAAATATAAACAATTATTCATATTAATTTAGATAAATGCCAGACCATATCATTCAGTCAAAAACAAAAAGCAATAAATACAAGTTGAGGGGGGTAGCTCAATTAAATCTGGTTAAAATATTGAGGTAAGTCTGTTAAATGTCTTTAAAACCCAGACAAATAAAAATGTGATTGATTGCATACTGTAACATTTGTTTGACAGGTGACATCATTCCCTTCAACAGACACTAAAACAGTATTTTATGTCATTTATAATATAGTGATCCAAAGCAAACAATTACTATTTGAAAATGATGGATGGTTGAACCCCTATTTCCTAGATTAAACACATACTGAAAAACCATACACAGATATTGTGCAGAGCCTTAATAAATATGATAACATGAAAATGTCTCTTTATTGTTTTTACACTCTGCATCCCTTTAGCTATGTGAATATTTTGACGGAATCTTTTACTGATAGAGAAGCACCTTGTAACCAAAAATTATTACTTAGACTGAAATGTAATTGTAATTGCAGAAAAACACGTTCTGCTACTCTACATCCCACGTATCTTGTATCATGTTTTCCAGAACTTCCTTTAAAGCCAGAGATGACCACCAACATATAATACTAATCTAATACACCAACTGGATCCTGGTTAGGAAATAACTGACAGTGTAGACTGAAGTTTACAATACTGGATATATTGAGCTCTTTGTGTTTTCTATTCACAAGAACGTATCTTTTAAATTTGGGCTTATTAATCCTCAGAAAAAATGTGCATTTTACTATCATGAAGCAGACTAAATAAATGTGGATTATCTTTTTTTTTTAATCAAAGACTGTCCTCAGCTGCTGTGTCCCACCTTGTCCTCGCTGGTACTCACGCGTGTTGGAGCTGTAACTGTAGCCTGCACCAGTGTGCGGCGGCGACTCGGAGTCCACGGAGGCCGTGTCCTCGTCCTGGGAGCAGCCCGCCTGGATGGCGCGCAGGTAGCTGTGGCTGCGCGACCGGAAGCACGTGGGAGCAGGCAGATCCAGAGCCTCCACGGCCTGCGACTCCCCCTGACAGTACGGCAGCGAGTGCCCGCAGCCCTGCCCGTATACCTGAAAGAACGTGTGCAGACTCACACGCTGAGGGCAGAGGGCAGACTGAGAAACGTGCAATCAAAAGCATCAAAAAGTAGAAGTAACAATTACACAGTGAAATTGACCCGGTGTCGGACATGAAGGACATTGCAGTACTAGATTGTTAATATTGATGCAACCCTGGAACTCATCAGCTATCGGTCTGTGAAAGGTAAGCCTCTGGAGGCAGGCTGTGGTTTTAGGGATCAGGCGTTGCCAGCAGACATCCCGGCCTAGACTTCCGTTTCTATATATCGACGCGTAAAACTAGGTTTACAAAGTTTACAAACTAATTTTAATCCAATAAAATGCAATATTATTGTCAGACAAACAGCCGGCGGGTTCCCGTGATGCATTTCAGCCAAAGTGTTCTTTTGGCTCGCCACTGGCACGGTTGATCTGCACGCAGACCATGACACACCAGTACGCCTCAGATACCAACATTTTGTGCCACTGCCTGATAATTTGGTATTGAATGCAAAGTCTGTTTATGGAGATTGTTGAGGAAGGAGAGAACAATCTGACCTCTGTTTAAGCTGTGAAATATTTGATCATTTAACCTCTTTGGGCCTTAAACAGTTATTTAAACCAAATGATCTGAGAAAATTAGAGGGGAAGTGTCTCTTTTGTCATTAGAAACACGACACGGGGCTCAAACTCCAACAATACTATTTTTGTCAGGCCTGACAAGACTAATCTTATGTAATACAATCTTCTAACAATTAACAATGTAGATGTTTACCAATACATTGTTGTTTATAAGGTTCACATATATTTGAGAAGTAAATACCAACTATAGCTGAATGTTTTAGTACAAATACCTCGAGAACTTTTGGAATGCTTGTATTTAACTTTCGTAAATATACTTAGTTACCTCTGTCTTGTCTCTCAAGACGCATTTCCCCTTTGAATATCAGCAGTTATTGTTTGGGGGTGTGCCGGCCTCTTTGCTTTTCAGTATAACGCTAACACAAGTACGACTGCATTGTGCATTGTGGTGTAGAGACAGCACAAATGTTTTTTCAGCTTCTTAAAATAACTTTCTTCCAGTATGTCTTTGCTGCATGGATTCGTCATTGCATTGTGGGAATAAGCGACGACAGCCGGCTGCATCTGAAATGTTTGATCAAGTGGCAAGAAACGAAGTAGAAACAGCCAGTAAAAGTATTTTTATGTTTGGCATGTTTTTGGTAGCAAATGTGAACAAGTTGTGGGTGGTCCATAAACACGATGATTAACTCCTCATATTCAACTCTCAAGAAATGTTCTCTCCCCTGATTAACTGCATTGTATTCCTGTAAAAGATCGAAAATCTCAGTGATAATCAGTGATCATCTTGATGATTGTTTGATTGATGTAAAAACCTGTCATGCACAGGTGGAGATGTAAAAAAGAAGATCTGGTGTGTGATGTCTGCATCCCACTCTAATCCTGCTGATGAAAACATACAACAAGTTCCCTCATGTCTACGCTGACGCACATGTCCCACTCTGACATTCTGCAAACACTCTCAAGCATCTCACGTATCCCACCAGATTAGTTGGTAGAATGTCTCAACTGACATAACATTCACTTAAATATTCTCTTGCGGCAGATTAGAAATTGGTGTGTGAATGTATTTTTTGCTCATTCACTGACTGTTTTCTAATTCGCTGATGTCAGAGATCTAACATTTGACAGAAGGGTATAAATATGTCCGGTTATTGCTACCCAACAACGCCACACACAAAAAGTGACAACCGCACATTTGATGAGACATGAGACATACCTGCGTGGCCGAGCCTCTGCCCAGCGTGCCGGAGCATCGGCTGAAGTCACTGTTCCTGTAGCGTGGAGGGGGCTCCAGGGGGCTCACCAGGCAGTCCAAGTTATCCAGGCTTCGATTAGTCGACAGCTCCTTCAAGCACGGCAGCGAGCTGCGGAAGTCAATGTAATTATCAGCTCTCAGAAGTCGCAGACCGGAATAAGGGAGGGCTGTGTCTAATTGATGACATCCAGGAGAAACTTTAAATCACACTCCCAACAGTTACCCTGGGTGTTTTTTGAATGAAATACTACTGGGATGTGCGGATAGTGATATGTGCTCGGGTTTAAAAAATGCAGCGCAGAGGAAACAATGATTCATGAGTAAAACTGATGAATATGAAATCGGCTTTATGACTGATCCTGGGAGTGCAACGTTTCCTCTGCTGCGGCCCCTTTGTGCACCTGGTGTTAGTGAGAATGTGTGTGTGCATAAGCAGCAGGGTGTGGCTGAGTGATTTCCATGGGAACTTTGCATGTTATGACATCAGGGCTTGAGGAAGCAGGCAAGAGTAGAGTACCAACACACCGCTCGGGGGACCTGCGGGGTAAGTGATGGAACAAGGGGGGCCGAGGGCAGAAGCACTGGGAAAGGTTAGCCAAAAAACGAGGTGGAGGGTAGTGGGTAGTAGGGCAAGTGAGGGTGGGTGGAGGGGCCACACTGCCTGCCTGTGGGTGACACTGACCTCAGATGCTGCATAGAGCATGCACTCTGTAGTGGAGACCACAGATAATCCTCCTGCATGAGAGCGTAGCAGCGAGGCCTGTCCGTGTGGATGGAGGGGTAGAACACATGGCAAAATTTCATCTCCCACTGCATTTGTACAAGGTGATCCTGCTTGCTTGTTATTTCTTGCCTCCCTCCATTGATACACATCTCTACCACCACGGATAGCTATCACAAGGTACTTGTGGCAGGATGCTGCCACCTGCTGACTTCCTTTGGGGACATGCAAAGAACTTTCACAACAAACAAACCCTTTAGTGCCCATTTCTATTTCTAATGAATGTACGGTAAAAGAGCACACACACACGCACACACACGCACAACTACGGTAAAGCAATGCGTGTGATAATCATCATCTGGATATGATGGCTTCGATGCTCTCCGTTGCGGGACTCACTTGCGTTGGGGGGGAGGTGGCTGCTGCTCGCTCAGTGAGTGCTGGGTGGCCCTCAGGTAGCTCTGGCGTCGGGCGGTGGCTTTGGGGGAAGGTTTGGGGCTTCCCTCTGAGTCCTCACTGTCCTCTAAGTCCCCCATAGCTTTAACATAGCTGCCGCTGCGCATCCTCCGACAGGGGATCTCAGTTCCTCTGGGCCGGCCGTGACCCAGAGTTCCTGCCCAGTCCCCCAGTGGGACCTGGAAGAACACACATACTGTTGGCTCTCTCAGGTGTGACCTTTGGACTCTTTATGTATTTCATGCTTTGTCTCTTTTTCTTTAAATACATATTGACAGTTTGATTCCAGAGATGTGTCAGTTGTGTGTAATTTCTTATCCCCTAATGATGAATAACTATTAATTGATCATAAAAAACTGTTCAATAAAATAAAAAAAACACAGAGAAATTATATAAAGATCCATGCAAACTTACAAAGAATGATGCTGAATATAAATACTCACTGGCCCTCCTACCTGAAGGAACTGTTGAGCCATGTCTTGGTGGCATGACTTGGATTTAAGTAAGGTCCTGTTAACTGTAGCAGAGCCCTTCTGCAGCACTTGTCTGGCCTGGCTGAGGGTGAGAGTGGACCAGGAACCTCTCTTCACCAGTAGATCGTCCTTGCTGCCCCTGATTCTTCCCTCCTCCTCCTTGGATACTACCTGTGTCGCCTGGCATGCCAGAAACTTGAGGTCGCTGCTGCTTTTCGAGGTCTTGAGAGTATGTGCAGAAATGGTGTGGTAGCCCTGTGGGATGTGCCTGGGACCGGCCTGGCTGTCTGACACCGCTCTGCCGAGAGACATCATGCTCAGAGGGTTGCGGTAACCTACGGCGATGGTGCCGGCTGTAGTGGTGTCGGTGTCTAGGGTGTCGTCTGAGCTCCAGAGGCCGAGCGCATTGGGCCTCTGTCTCTGCTTTGTCCCCTCGGTTTTAGCCCTGTCTTTACTCTTGCTCCTGCGCGTCGGTCTGCCGCCGTCCTCACCGGCACCCGCGGCGCCGCCGGCCGTTCCTCCAGCCGAGCGCCCGTTCACGTTGCCTTTGATCGCAGAGTTTTCCAGGGACTGCGACTTGGCGAACAGCTTCTGCACCGAGTGCATCAGGTGGCGTATGCGTCCCGGGCTCTCGCTGCGTTGCTTCGACATGCGCCCCCTGTGAAACTGCAGCGTGCTGAAGCCGTCGCGCTGCAGGGGCAGGTGCCTCTCGAGCTGATCCAAAAGGTTGGAGGGTAACCGATTCATCTTGGCTGCTGCTGCGGAGGAGGAGGAGATAGTGGCTGATCCACTGGTGATCATCGGAGCGCCAGTTAGTCCCAGGCCCAAGCCCATGCCCATAGACAAGGAGTTGGACAGTGCAGCACCTGCTCTGCCGCCCTGCCCAACTCCGCCAGCAGCGGCAGCCATGCAGGCCTGCGAGCAGTCCACCTGCTCAGCCTGGGAGCTGTAGTGCAGACGAGGGAAGGTGCTGCTGTTGGACATCTGGCTGAAAGGCAGCAGGCAGTCAGGGTTCAGGCTGGTGGGGCTGGTGGGAGAGCACAGGTGGAGGTGGGGGTCCAGGGTGCCGTAGTGGTTTATGGTGGGGGTCAACAGAAAGGCGCCGTGAGGGTCAGAGGTCAAAGGACACAGCGGCTTCTGTGGGCATCTGGCCGGTTCACAGGAGTCAGACATGTGGCGACTGCGGTTGGCCCCGAAGCCTTTCATGGTGGCTGAGCTGTCGTCCTTAGAACATGTCTCCAATCAGCACGGGTCTACGGACCGGAGGGGCTCATCCTGCAGTGGGAAAAGACACAGGAACCATCTGTTTAACGTGCAAACTCTGGTTGAGACAGAACTTCCAATCCAATGCGATAGCTCTGTGGATCTATTTAAAAACAAAATACTACTTTTAAAATTGCCACACTTTGAAGTTGTTATCTCTAATTGAACCGTTTTTATTCTACTTTATTGGATGACTTCCCGAGGAATGTTTAAAAAAAGACCAGCCGGTTTGTCCCTTTTTAGCGATTACAGTTAACAGCGCATAACAGTTAAAACAGCCATTTGCGAACAACACAAACTCTCAGAGGGGGAGTTCTACACTTCAATACTTAAAGCTAATGAAACATTAAAGTCAGGGCACATTTAGAAATGCTTTTCTCAGTGGGTTCTTGAAATATCAGTATGGTAATTGAGCTGAAACTGCTTTTTAGACCGTCTCTGCTGTGTGGTGCATTTCTTAACGGCCAGTTAAAGTGGAGAAGTGTAGTAAGTTCCCATCTCAGCTGCTTCACACAGAAAACCACCAGGTGGAGCAGCAGTGCACCAAGAACACGGTTTGGGTTTCAAGCAAAAACACACACATACACATTGTATTGGCTTAAATTACATTTCCAATTGACTATGTATAGTTTTAACAAATCATGTACACGTGCAGTAAAACAATTCCACTCCATGGTAAGAAATATAATTTGATATTAAAAGCAAACCAGGAACATTACACAGGATGAATAATTGTCTCCATCACGACCACACGTTGAGACGAGATGAAATTCAAAAGACTAATGGACAAAACCAAAGATTATTCTCAGTGGAAAAGAGTTTCATACTTGAACTGTTCCACCACAGCACGAGACCAGACAACCACAGACAACCACGGGCCCGACATGCAGCACCACAGCGACTCTGCACACAGTGCATTGGGGAGCAATTTAGTGACTCACGTATTTAAATGAGCTTCATATTTAAGGGGCACTATTTCTTTCAAAGCAGGAAACAAACACTCATTTCAATCCGTTTTTTTGCTTTTTTGCCAGCCTCTTGAACGGTGGAATAAACTGTGCTCCCTTTCCTTTATAGCCACGGGGAACAATACATCTCCCCCAATGCCCTCTAAAAATGTAGCACTTCTGGTGCAGGAGCAAATATTTTATCGAGGTATTTACATTGGCATCGAGATACGAGCAGAGATGAATAAAAGTGGAATTCAATCTGAATAAACCTGGCTTAACTGCCCTGCTGTTATTTACTAACTATGAATATTTCATTTCATATCAGAGGTTTTGAAAATAGCTGCCACGGTCATATCTCACCACTCAAGCTAAATCTCTCCAATGCGACCACTACAATTGTTTATTTTGGTCATCCTCAGTATAAGATATATCTCTGCCATGAAGACCAACCGACGGAGGCGAATGTCTGTAGGCGCCCGTGTCCTCTCCTTCCCTCACAGGCCTGTGCTCGAACGATCGCTATGAACAGACAGTCATATTACATCAGGGTTGTGAAAAGTCATCATTCACACGGCAGAAATCCATGCTGCATTAAATTCCCTCCAACAGATGCTGTCTGTATCACCGTGGAGTGACTCACTGATCAGTCAATGGTAAGAGCCCTCTGCCGCAGCGAGCATGAAATCCAGCCCGGGAGCTCTATGCAGAATCTTTAACTGCACACGTTGGGTTGCTTCTTTACGTGTGTCTCTCTCTCTCTCTCTCTCTCTCTGACCTCCCGCACAGAGAGCAGCCGCTTATCTGAGTCAGAGCTCCTGGACCGCGGCCGCGTTTCTCTACACCGGCGCAGCCTGCTGTAATTCGTCCCAGCCGAGGGGTGGAAGCGGGGGCCGACCTGCAGCCCCCACGTGTTGGCGTCCCGTAGGCGCCACTGCTGACAAACTGACAACACACCTACACGCGCTGACACACGCACACAAACGCGCTGAGCCCGCCCACCACCCCTCGCGCCACACCGCGATGGGAGACTGAGCGACGTTGGCGGTCGGTGCGGTTCTGTCACAGGTGCGGCGCCATGATGGCGGCTTATGTGATGTGGAGAGGGATCTTGCAGTTTTTGGTGTATTCGGTGTATTTTGGTGTAAGGTGATCTACGGAAGACGGCAATCAGCGTCAAACACTGCAGAGAGGGAGGTTTAAACCAACCGTGCGTGTTTATGTGGCACATTACTGAACACCTCTTACTTGCACACATGATTCCACATATTGAGATGTAAAACCTCATGAAGTGACAAGTAGCCTCCCATCAAAGGCCCAAATGATCCCCTCAAAACGCCGCTCACACAGCAACACAAACTGAGCGGTGGAGGCCGTACAGCAGACGTTCTGTGGGGTAAAAAGAAGCCGTTTTGGTGATGGTTGTCTCGTGGCTTTGAAGAACGCATACAGGAAACATACATGCATATTTTTAACTTATTTTTGTAGTCAAAGTCGGTCAAACCTTCGGTATAAAAAGATGCTGTTGCATGATTCTTGAAAATGCTTTTTATGTGTCTCTGACTTCTGGTTTTCATTTCAGTTTCTCTGTCCTCAAACTGTCGGACAATTAGAGCGGCATCTTTAAAAACTGTAACATAGAGAGAATGTCTATTACCAATTGTCAATAATACTGTCAAAACACCCCTTTTTAAAATTTTAAATTGAAGATGCAGTGTTTGATTCAGATCACAAAAATAATTTACATTTTATCAATATTGGGGTCTTACAGTTGAGTAGTCCTATACATTATTGTACTTGCTCTTACTGTATAATGCGTACATGCACTGTCTGAGATCTGGAACTCTTGAATTGGCTTCAATAAAACGTAAAAAACCAAATCCAGATGAACAACAACCAAGCCCAGATGTTATTAAGGCAGCAGCTTTGAATCATCCTGTTTGAGACTTTCTAAGGATGTTGCAGTTATGTAATGTTGTTTCTGGAGATTGCTCTGACAGGAGAAAAAAGCTGATGGGGGTGAACAAGGTGCGTGGCCTCCTTTAAGGTATGCAAGGTATGCACAAAATATTCAGCTGTCACAGTACAGATGTTTTCAACTGCAACTAATAGGAACGTGATGGACAAGCCTGGCCGCTTGTTTCTGGACAAGGATTTGAAACTAGGAATTATTTTCCGTCTTTCTTTCTATCAGAGTGCAATTTTCAGTACAATGAACACGTTTGTCATTTTATTGGATGAAAACGCTACATTCTGCTGAAAAATAAAACAGCTGAAGTCAATTGAATACATGCCAAGGAGCATGAATCCATTACCAAAACGCAGTAATTTAATTTCAAGATCATTGTGATCCACAACCGTGAAATTGTCTTGACAACATTCATTTCCACAACACACAATGAGCAATTTCAACATTTTGTTCTGCGATATAAAACCCGTCAGTCAATGATCCAGCTGTTCATTTCGGGTCTTTTACGTGTCTGAAAAAAAGTGGTTGCTAACCGCTAAATGAGACCACAAAACGTTTATCACACCAAATGGCCCCAAAGCCTCGTCGTGCGGACTCGCGCGAGTTTGTTCACAGCATAACAGAAGCTTTTTACGTTGGCAGATTGCCTTCACTCTTCGAAATTCAAAAAAGAGCTTTTTATTTCTAAAGATTGCTGAAAAAAAACAACATAACTATAAAATGTCTGTCTGTCACAGCGTATTCTGTGAAGTTTGGCCTACAAACATATTTCGTCCCTGCGGCACTCTCAGTGTCTCCATTCAAGCACCACGTTCATTAAGTCAAGACGAAGGGAGGAAGAATCTATTTCAGGCTTATTTTTAGACCCCGAAGGGTTGAAGTCTAACAAATGGGGAGAGAACTTTGAACATAAACGTACTTTGACGAAACAAACATCCTCCCAGGGCCGGGGAAATCTCTGCTGCTTTGTCAAAAAAAACAACCCAAAAAACGCCATCAACGGTCCGTCGGGAGGTGATGTCACGCGGTCCGTCGCTGAAATGAAGCCCCTGTTGGATCTGCACGAGGCCCGCTAAACAAGCTCGACCAAGAGTCGCCGGCCCGCCGAGCCGCCCGAGCCGCCGAGCGGGCCCGTAATGAATGTCTCCTGTAGCCGCGCAGCTCCCCTCGCGCCTCGGGTGATGAGCAGAGGGGAGGGGAGGGCCGCAGAAGCAAGGAGAGGGGTATTGATCGGGTCTCGCTCCTTGTTCTGATGGTGAATATACAGCTGCCGGGTATTGGCTTTTGCAGTCTCCTTCAATGATCACCTTGTTTTCTCCCCCTCACATTGCTTCCATTTCATCGACTCTTTTCCAGCCAAACGTCACACGGAAGTCAACTACAATTACAACGCTGGCCCGCAGGAACCTGCAGCTTTTGATGTCGCTTCATCCCTTCCAACAACATGGAGGCTTATTTCACATTTATCTAATAAAACGTCGCAGTGACAATGTATCTTCCTCCCTCCGAGCTACTACGAGTAAAATGTCCGGTTTTGCAGCATCTTCGCTGTAGATGAGCCAACTCCATCCGCTATCCCCACTGAACTGGTGAGAATCTGCAAATAGCACGTTTCAGTCACAAAGTTATGTCATCAGGGCTTCCTGTGGATACAGCAAGTGTTGTTCTCTGCTGCGCGGGGAAAGCAAGCCTCATTTCTGTGGACAGACGGGCCGATCACCTCAAAGACGTGTTGTTTTTCCATTCACGTCTTAATAATACAAAGTTATTATTATTTTGTGATTGCCGTTTCTAGAATTAGCTTTTTACTCCCCCCACCGATTGTCCAGAAGCCTTTTAATGACGGATCACATAATGCATCTCGAGGTATACGTCACCTGCGCCCAATCAACACTTTTTGGCATTTTGGTAAATGCGCGTCTCTGTTTTCATGCCTCGGAGTGGAACAACCACTCTCATATCTGCCTGTTAAATATAACTGGCTCTGTACCCTCTCGGTTGAATGCACTTACTGTAAGTTGCTTTGGATTAAAGTGTCAGCTAAATGAAAAATGTAAAATCTAAGCATGAAGAAAACTTAGCTTAGTTTAGTTCAT